GTGTAATAGTAACTGATGTCATTCTTGACCTTGTAAGCTTAGCATTTATCTGTTATCTGTCTGTCTATCTATCTGTCTATCTATCTATCATCTATCAGTCTGTCTGTCTGTCTGTCTGTCTATCAAGTTAGATTCTTACTCTGTTCCCCAGGCTAGAGTGCAGTGGCACACTCAGGGCTACTGCAGCCTCAACCTGCTGGACTTAGGCAGTCCTTCTACCTTTGCCTCCCAAGTAGCCATATGTAGGCATGTGCCACCATGCGTGGCTAATTTTTTTTGTTGTTGTGGAGACGATATCTCACCAGGTTGCCCAGGCTGATCTCAAACCCTTGGGCTCAGGCAATCCTCTCACCTTCACCTCCCAAAGTGCTGGCATTACAGGTGTGAGACACTGTGCCTGGCTAACATTTATGTTTTTAATTGTTGGTCGGCATCCTGAGGGATCTTAGGACAAGCAATCATGTGTAGTTACGGCAAACTATGAATTTATTTTATGACTGGTGAAACTGGTATCGCAAAACATGTTCAATCACCTAACCTGATGGTCAAGATACAAAGAGTTTTTTTCATGGTAACTCTTATAAAATATCATTGAGTACGGTTTTTATGGAGAAATTTATGTAATAAGACATTTAAGAAGCTCACTGTACTTCACCAGAAAAGGGTCAAGGGTTTTGTTGCAGGGAGAAAACATCATTCCATTACTAAGCCACACATCAGTATCAATTTGAAAATGAACATGACATTAATCTCTATCAGAAATTGCCCAAAGCGAGAGAAACTGCTTCAGTTTTGTGATAAATATCCTAAAATGAAAGTATACTCTAGAAATCAACTGGGACTTGAGCATATCTGTTATAACTATTAAGTCAGTAAGCCCAGTCACCTAGATAGCAACTTAACTACTGATGTATTATTACCCATTTCATACCTTTGCTGGCTATTCTGTCAGTAGTTAAATAAGGATATATGTGACATAAAATAATATATTTATTGAACTGGTAGGGAGCACTCTTTTTTTATTGTAGGAAATTTTATTATACATATATTTTTTTACCCTTTTGTAATACTGCTATCAAACCTAGTCAATCATATCTGAATATTTTAGTGTTCTATTCATATATTTTGTATTGTCTAGTTTTTTTTAAGACATGGTCTCACTCTGTCACCCAGGCTGAAATACAGGGTCACAATCATGTCTCAATTCAGCCTCTCCCTCTAGGGCACATGTCATCCTCCTGCAGCCTCTCAAGTAGCTGATACTGCAGTCATATGCTACCATGCCTGCCTAATTTTCCTATTTTTTAATGTAGAGATGAGGTCTCACTATGTTGTCCAGACTGGCTTTGAACTCCTGGCCTCAAGCGATCCTCCCACCTCAGCCTCCCAAAGTGCTGGGAATCCAGGCATGAGACACTGCGCCTGGCAGTAATTTTTTTTTCTTTTTGAACTAACTAGGAGCTAAAATTTAAAACCACTTCAAATTAGGTTAGTACAGCCGTCTTACTGTCAAAATTCACATTCCAATCTGATTTTAACTTTTTACTTATCCTTCTGTACAGATGAAAAAATATCTGTACTTCGATTATCCATTTAGTAATTCAGGAAGTATTAACGTAGAAAAAATAGTATTTTGAAATTTGTAGATCATGACTAAGGCGCATCACCAAAGTGATTTCCTTCTCTTTAATGCTTTCTGATTGTAAGATTGCAGGAGTTTACCACCTTAAGTCTCCCTCTTTGATGAGTGTTCAACTCTTGCCATGTATGGAATATCACATAACCAGTGTTAAAAATTTGTAGAAAGATACCTTTTACCCACTGTCTTTCAGTTCTTTGCTTTTGACTCATTCTGATTTTATAAGATGTTACCATTTACCCTTCACATATAATGTAAGGAAATGATTTTGAAAGGCAATGGTACTAAACTGTATTATTTATTCCTTTTGCTTGTGGGGGTGGTAGAGAGAGAGAGAAAGAGAGAAGGGGATAAGAACCTGAATTAGTCATAGAAAGAGGTTCACTATCAACTCTATCACTTACTGGTTATAACCATGGACCACTCTGGACATAGTGTGTTAAAAGGGTGTAAGAATTCTAGCCTACAACGTAGTTACATAAATTGACGCTATATGGAAACCCCCTAGCACAGTGCCTGCCATAGTCAATGCATAGTCATGTTAACTATTTCTTTGTGTTATTGCTTTAAGGTTCCCAGATGTTCAGTTAGATCTAACATATGTCTTTGCAAAAGAAGTGTCAACACATAAGTGAACAGTATAGTCCAAAATATCACTGGAGACCTTTTTTTTTTTTAAGCTTTTTCAAGTGTTCTATATGAGTTTCTTGCTGAACTGAACTTTTCCATTTGTCATTTGCTGGGGGTTCTAACTAGCAATTCAAATGGGATACAGTTCATGGAGAAGGGGAAGATCACAATGTGCTGTTCCTTCACTTATCTGAGTGACTTGTTTTGGGAAATTAAGAAATAGGTACTAGTTATTCAAGAAAAAACTTTGAGTAGGTAGCTACTTACAGTTCCTGTCTTTAAAGCATGAAAAATGAAATACTGTGCATTTAAATGTTTTTTTTTAATCTCACAAATGCTTCAAGGCACAGCGGAAGTCCTTTTAAATTCTGTGAAAGATAATGAATATTCATAGCTAGGTTTTAGTTTTAGATATTTAATTTGTCTTTGGAAAGCAGTCTGAATGCCTTGTACATTATATTTAGCACCTTCACAGATTGTTCAAGTCAATAAATAGAAAAAAACTTCATATGGCTTTGTTACACAAGATTTGCTCATTTAACCTTTGATGAGCCTCTTTAAAATGGGATTGATGATGTAACAGAAATCCCTGTAATTTACAAAACACTTTGTAGGTGAGGGAGGATGAGTTCAGCTCAACAATGCCTATCCCAAATCAGTCAATATGTTGGGATAATTTTAATGGGTTATAGTATACTAATTAATTCATATAATTCAATACTATGGATAATTCAGAACTTGATGTTTTAAGAAAATTAATTTCAGTACGTAAGAAAGAATCTTATAAAAACATTAATAAATATTGAGCCAGATATTAGTAACTCTGCTTTATAGATGAGGAAATTGATATACCCAAAAATTAGAACTTTATGTAAGGTCATTTAAGTAAAGGAACTCAAATTAATGGTTTGTAATGATACGCTTTTTCCACTAGAAAACTGATGGTTCCTTGTTGGGACGATATTTGTGTTGTTTAATGTTTTTGGAAACATAGTCCATTATTTTAACATGTTGAATAAATAAAATTTATGTGTTCAACATTCATCTATGTTTTATATCCCAAGAGTTATTAGATGTAAAATTTCAACAAAGACACCTGTGTCTGTCTGCAGAGTGTTAGCTATGATGCTTTAAAATCAATTTATACCTCCCTGTTTATGGAAAAGGTACATGGATGGGTATATATGAAATCTTTAAAGAGAGAGAGATTTTGAAATAACTTATTGGTGTCAGAAAATGGTAATCGTTTTCCTTGTAAAACAGAATTTCCTATATTCTGTTTGTCCTAGACTAGACCAGACTGCCAGTTGGTATCCATCAAGAGGGAGAGAGTCTGACAGAACTTTCATAACATTTTTTATTCCTAAAATCATTTGGTTAACTAATTGTGTAATTTATTATTAAGGGGAACAGAGATAAGGGACTGACAGTTACTTTACAAAAGGAAAGACATGCTATTGGACATTTTTTTCTTCCAAAGTGAGATTTGTGTCCTTTTTTTATATGACCCTCTTTCATTCTAATAGTTTCTTCTGCTATCAAGTGGCATTTCTCTATATTGTCCAAGGAACATAGTTAATGACTTTTAAAGAATCAAATCTTTATCAATCTGACTTTCAGTAGGTATAAGGTACATATCAGAATATTTAACACAATATTATTCTAAAAATACAGAGGAGTACCTCAGAGCAGTGATAAGATGAAGAGGAAAAGCTTTACTTGGATAGACTTTGGTATTTTGGAGCAAAAGAGTGGAATATGACCTGCTTGAATAGGGGTCTTCTTTAAAAATTCATGTATATACACCACCTTTTGACTAAGTTGCTAAGTTGTTTTTATTCTTCTAATATAATTTACTTCATTTAGCTCCTTCCTATTCACTGGCTTCCATGATCTGCCAGTGCAATTTTAAAATAGCCGCCATTTGGCAGCTGCTTTGTTCTTTCCAGCTACTCTAGAGCTCCTGCCGCTGATCTCAAATGCAGGAGCAGCAGAGGTGCTTTGACAGAAAGAGAACAGAGTGTCAAAGAGTCCAGCGGGAGAGGAGCAGATTGTGGGAAACCATGTGACTGTGTGATTCACATCTCTTAAGGAGAGAGAACCGGTTGTTTCTTTGTCTAGATCCACCCTGTTATGAGGATAATACCATCAATAATGTAATTTTAATTGCCTAGATGCTTTGACATGCTGGCTTAAACAAATAAAACTTTTAATAGTGAAGTTACTGGTCAGATGAGTTTGAGTAAAAGTAAGTTAGATGACATTTGAATCAGGAAAGCATAAGGACTGGTAGTCTCAAACACTAATGTTTAGGTATATTCTAGGGGGGCAGTAACTTGTCTGTGTATATGTCTGTTTTCACTAAAATGTTCAATTTAGTTCTTTCGCCATTAGCTTAAATGACCTGATGCTATTTGGTTTGTATATTGCTTATAATAGTGAATCCCTTCAAAGCTGACTTGAATAAGACCATACTTAAAAAGGTGGAAGACACATTAGAAAATTTCAAATTTTTACTTTGACTTTCAAGGGTCAAATCTTAGGACGGATTAATTTCTTGTTTTTTTTGTTACACGTGTGCTAATGAACTATAGCATGAATTTATGTTTCTGCATACATGTAGATCAAAAGAGTTTTCTTCAGTCCTTAGAACATTCCCTAGGAGGGAAAGTCGCTAACATTAATGTTAGGAGAGCATAACATGGACCTTTCTTTTAATCTATAATTCTAGGACGACATAGACAGCCTAAACCCAGTTCTCAGGGACAACCCGCAACTTTACGAGGAAGTGAAAGTCTGGGTAAAGGAACAAAAGGTTCAGGAGATTTTTATGCAAGGTAACTATTTTGAAGTTATGCATTAATTTTTTTTTTTGATCTAGGCAACTTATATTTGTCTTTGGTTGTTCAATAAAATGCACTGTAAATAAAAGGCCCAGTCTAATATTTTGAGTTATACACAGTCCAGGGAAAATAAAAGCAGAATCATAAAATCTTGTTGTAAAGTTGGTAATTTCACTAGTTCTTTACATTTTTTTTTTTTTTGAGCTAAGTGCTTATCATGAAATTATAGCCACATAGGTATTTTGTTGATAGAAAAGATTTCATATTGTGAGTTTTTAGGTATGTCCTTCTTGGAGAAGGAAGCATTATTTGCAGATGTTGCCCAAAACCACAATCGGTATCCTTTGAAAACCATTGTTTCTGTAATCCCAGCACTTTGGGAGGCGGAGGCAAGAGAATTGCCTGAGACCAGCCTGGACAACATGGCAATGTTACCTATCTCTACAATAAATAAAAAAATTAGCCAGGTATGGTGACTCACGACTATAGTTCCAACTACTTGGAAAACTGAAGTGGAAGGATCGCCCAAACCCAGCAGGGTGAGACTGTGGTGGCCATAAGCGTGCCACTGCACTCCACTCTACCTCAGAAAAAAAGAAAACCATGTTGGTATCTAGTAAAAGCATCCTATTTCAGTGCACCTTTTTCAGCAATTTGCTAGTCTTTAGTTGTGTTTCGTTTGTTTGGTAATTTAACACGTGACCTTCAAACCAGTTTGAAGGTTTTACAATTGAAGGTTTTACAATTCTTAGCAATTCCCATTTCTGTGTTAGTAAAATCATGGGTGAAGCTGAGGCAGTACAGCATGAACTGTTGATACATTGTTAAATGTTTTTTGTTTTCCTTTGAAGGGAGATTTTTAGCTGCTTCAGTTTCTAAATGTTTTTATGAATGGAATTTTATTCTATTGTTAATTTCTCATTTATCTCAACCCTCAATTTACATGCCATTAAAATAAATTAATAATCTCAAAGTTTTTTGCTTTATGTGGGTATATAATACAGCAGATTATCTACTCATTAAATTCTTATTAGGCCAAATATTCTTTAAACTTTTTTATGGAAAATGTCAAACATACACAAAAATAGGATATTTCAGTGAATTTCCATGCCTCTCTCTCTCAGTCCCAACAACTATCAGAACTTGTCTGATCCTGTCCTATCAATGCCACCTTTTACTTCTATCAAATTTCAGACTTTATTCTATCCATTAAAAGAAAAGATATCATATCATTATTATCCTGAAAAAATTAATAGTTTCTTGATTTAAAATACTGAATAGTCCGTTCATAGATTTTAACAGGTTTTGTTTATTTTTTAAACATCAAGGGATTCAGTAAAGGTCTGCAAATTGTGATTGGTATGTCCTCTTCGTTGCTTTTTTTTCTCCCTTTCCTTGCAATTTAGTTAAGGAACCAGTTCAATTTTTTTTTAAATAAAAATGATGTTATGTTTCTCTGTTTGTATCCTTAGAGGAAAAAAGATTAAAGCAATATAGTCCCTTTTCATCCTAGGCTCAATTGTATGAGATAGACTCTAAATTGTGTTAAGTGGTGGGAATAAGCCATTGTAGATGGTTTAACAGGAATTGAAAAATAATTAAATCTGGAGCTATTTTATATAAGTATGTTCTATTTTACTCAGAAAAAACAATATGGAGTCTTACTCTTCCATAGTTCAAAAAGACTGGAATTTGCATAATGGTGTTTACCCATCACGTTCCTTAAATTATAACTAATTAACATCTTCATTTTTTTTCTAGATGTATGTTTTTAATTTACAGGTCATATGGAAAACTCTATACTGATTTATTGTTTATATAATGAGTTTATATATATTTTAAAACTGGCAAAAGAGTACTATTTTTTTTTTTTTTTTTTGGTCGGAGTCTCACTCCCGTCACCTGGACTGGAGTGCGGTGGCATGCTCACAGTCACTCCAGCGTCGACCTACTGTACTTTGGCAATCCTTCTAACTCAGCCTTTCAAGTAACTGAATCTACAGGCACGCACTACCCGCCCGGCTAATTTTTGACTTTTTGTAGAGACGAGGTCTCCCCAAGTTGCCCAGGCTGGTTTCGAACTCATGGACTCAGGCAATCCACTTGCCTCCACCTTGCAAAGTGCTTGGATTACAGGTTGAGCCATCAAGGCCAGCCAGAGTACTAAATATTAATTGGGAAAATTAAATTAAATCCTAGCTCTTAGACTTAAAATTTACTTTTAAGCTCCCTTCCTTGATTTTTGTAAAAGGGATTAAAGTAGCACTTGTAAATTTTGAAAGTACTTTGAAAATTGCTAATGTACAATACTACTAGTAAGGTACAGCAATTTTGCCCCTCACAACTGTTATCAGACTTTAAATTGATACCATTTTAGTGCCTATAAATTGAAGATGATTTTTATCTCACTATCTTTTTCTGTGGAGTGACTTTTTTTTAGAAATAACTAAACATATGCAAATATATCTTTTAATAATTTCTTATTTTATAAAGGAAATCTATATAAGGATATAGATATCCTTTGAGAAAGTGAGTCTAACCCAAAAGTTTACCATATTTCTTTAAAAAAAATTAGTGCTATATTTATAAGTTCACTTCATGTTTTAAGACTTTTAGCAGTTTTTTAAAACTGTCACAAAGGAATCAAAGTTTGTAGTTGCTTATGGTAAAGTTTTGGCAACTGTAAGCCTCAAACATCAAGTTGGAACTTAACCTTTCCATTTCAGCCATATAGTTATCTACCCCAATATTAGTAGGTAGCTTTGTAACCTTTCTACATTCTAGATCACTATAACTTTGCAGTTTGAACTGTCCTCTTATTAACTCAAGATCCCAGAAACTTTCTGTCTCAAGGTATTTTATTTCTATGGAGCTATATAGGTGCATATATTGATTTATTTCCATGGAGGTATATAGTGTTCATATAATGATAAATTCAGAACGATCTGTTCTAAAGGATATTGACTTGTATCCCGAAATTTCTTTGAAAACTGATGTTTGTATAATATTAGTCATCTCTCGCCTAGTTCACGTTTCTTCAAAAAAGTACTTCTTAAATGAAATTACCTTCATTTACGATATCCCTATTTCTTGTGTTTTTTTTGAAGGTCCTTACTCTTTAAATGGATACAGAGTGAGAGTATACAGACAAGACTCTGCCACCCAGTGGTTTACTGGCATAATTACTCATCATGATCTCTTCACCCGCACCATGATCGTTATGAATGATCAGGTAAATAGCTCACCTAATATTTTTGTAGAGATTTTATAAATCACATAGTCCAAAAAATGCATCAACTTTGATATTAAGTCATTTTCATGGAGTTTCAGTCATATAATTCTAATAAGCTTCAGAGTATATGATGTTTCATAGAGGTCACTTTAGGTCACAGGGAGATAGTGATGCCAAATTTTTTTCAACACTGATAAAAATCAGTCTCTGAAATAGTGGTATGAAACTCTTAATTTAGTCTTTTTTTAAAATCCATGGGTCAGCTAAAATTTCCTTTCTGAAAGTTTGCATTTTTCTGTCTTTTCAGTAATAAAAATATTTTCCAGATGATTTCTTTTCATTAATGAAAACTTAATTGCATACTGTATAGTTCTTGTCACATCTACCAATGTTGGTATGCTCATTTAAGTTTTATGACGAATCTTAAGAATACAAGTTTCCTGTGAAGTTTTAAGTGACAGTGTGAAAGTCTTGGCATTTCAGATCTTTTTTTTCCTTTTTTTAATGCAAAAAAGAAATATTCACTTTTAAAGCTGTTGTTTGTTTACATGGAAAAAATAGGTATTTACACCTTTCTGCCCTAATGGATTGTACAGGTAAATAATTCAAATACTTTGCTAAAAGTTTTCATTAATGCTAGATAAATTTTACGGTTTCATTGCATTTTCTCTTTTCCTAGAATGGTAACAATTACTACTCAATGGATTACTAGATTGCCTTGAATTTTTACCCCTCAATGGATTACTAGATTGCCTTGAATTTTTAAAATAGTTCTTTCAGCAACCATATTATAAAATATTCATTTAACAATTTTTGTGTTTTTCTCCTCCCCTAAAGTCTGCCTTTCAGTTTTATTTTAGAGCTGTTTTTTGAAAATTACTTTCTATTTTTTTACTTGGCTTATTATTATTATTTCTTGAGACAGGGTCTTGCTCTGTCGCCTAGGCTGGATGGAGTTCAGTGGTGTGATAATGGCTCACCACAGCCTTGAATTCGTGGACTTAAGCAATTCCTGCCTCAGCCTCCCCAGTGACTGGGACAATATACATGTGCACTGTGGGTGGCTATTTTTTTTTTTTAAAGAGATTTGATCTTTCTATGTTAGAAACTTAGACTGGTCTGTAACTCTCGACCTCAAGCAGTTGTCCCACCTCAGCTTCCCAAAGTGACGGGATCATAGACAGAAGCCCCTGCTCCTGGCCTTTCCATGTTTCTTAAGATATACTTGCAATACATATATTTGCTTTTTAATTTTTGGTTCACAGTTGAAATAGTTTCAGAAACTTAAAAAGATAATTTTATCTTCAGTGATTAAAACTGATTATTGTAAGTGTGATAGTATCTTATAAGCTAGGAGTCCCTAACTGATTTCTAAACATGTCTACTAAGTAAATTATATATCACATTTGGTTAGCTCATTGGACTTAATTTTTGTTTTTGTTTTGTGTCATGGATTAGGTACTAGAACCACAGAATGTCGATCCTTCTATGGTTCAAATGACCTTTCTAGATGATGTTGTTCACTCTTTGTTAAAAGGTGAAAATATTGGCATTACATCACGGCGCAGGTCTCGTGCCAATCAAAATATCAACGCTGTTCACGTATGTATGTTAATAGGGATGGATTTTTTAACTTCTTTTTTAGGCTAGTAGGAATCAGGTAGTAAACAACCATTATTAATTGGTTATTTTTAGGGTCATTATACACGTGCCCAAGCTAATAGTCCCAGACCAGCAATGAATTCCCAAGCTGCTGTACCAAAACAGAATACTCACCAGCAACAGCAACAAAGAAATATCCGTCCAAGTAAGAGGAAGGGCTCAGATAGCAGTGTGCCAGATGAAGAGAAGATGAAGGAGGAAAAATATGATTATATATCACGAGGAGGTAGGACTGATTTTTATTTTTTTAAGGGAATGAGAAATAATATATTTTAGCTATGCTTACTTAGCATTTATTATGAAAAATAACTGTTCTTTTTTGAAAACCCACAGAAAATCCTAAAGGTAAAAACAAACAGTTGATAAATAAGAGAAGGAAACCTGAGGAGGATGAAAGAAAAATAAATATAAAAAGACTTCGAACTGACAATGTTTCAGACTTTTCTGAGAGCAGTGACTCAGAAAATTCAAATAAAAGAATAATAGATAATTGCTCAGAGCAAAAGCCAGAGCATGAGTTGAAAAATACAAGTACTTCAAAGATAAATGGAGAAGAAGGAAAATCCCAGAACAATGAGAATACAGAAGAGACACTAAAGGTTACTCAGCCCCCATGGGATCAAATACAGGAAGATAAAAAACATGAAGAAGCAGAGAAGCAAAAGTCTGTTGACACTCAGCTTCAAGAAAAAATGATTATCCATTCATCAGAACAGACCACACTTTCTGATCATAACCCTAATGATTTACTCCCTCAGGAATGCAATGTGGAAAAAACACATACAGTGGAATTGTTACCAAAGGAGAAGTTTGTGTCCAGACCACCCTCACCAAAATGTGTTATTGATATTACAAATGACACTAATTTAGAAAAGGTGGCTCAGGAAAACTCACATACCTTTGGCCGTCAGACACTTCAGAAAATGGATCCTAATGTTGGTGATTCAAAACATTCTATTGCAAATACAAAATACTTGGAAACATCAAAACAGGATTCTGACCAGAGCTGGGTCAGTGATGTAGTTAAAATTGGTTTAACCCAATCAAGTGTTATAAATGTTTCTTCAGGAAATGATCACCTGAATGTGGAAAAAGAAAAAAATCAGTATGTCTCTTACATGTCTTCTTTAAGTACAGTTTCTGTCATGGAAGATAAGCTACATAAGCGAAGTCCACCTCCAGAGACTATAAAACCTAAACTTAATACTTCAGTAGATGCTCACAAGACAAAATCCAATTCCTCACCTGAACTTGTTAAACCCAAAATAACCCATTCTCCTGAGTCTGTGAAGTCTAAGGCTACTTATGTGAACAGCCAAGCTACTGGTGAAAGAAGACTGGCAAATAAGATAGAACATGAGCTATCAAGATGCAGTTTTCATCCAGTTCCTACTCGAGGCAGTACATTAGAAACTACGAAGAGTCCTCTTATCATTGATAAAAATGAACATTTCACAGTTTACAGAGATCCTGCACTTATTGGGTCAGAAACAGGAGCTAACCACATTTCACCTTTCTTAAGCCAGCATCCTTTTCCTCTTCACTCCTCATCCCATAGAGCCTGTTTAAATCCAGGTACTCATCACCCTGCCTTAACTCCCACACCCCACTTACTAGCTGGGTCATCTGGTCAAACTCCATTACCCACCATTAACACTCACCCTCTGACTAGTGGTCCACACCATGCTGTTCATCACCCTCATTTACTTCCCACTGTGTTACCTGGAGTGCCTACTGCCTCCTTACTTGGTGGCCACCCGCGACTAGAGAGTGCTCATGCCAGCAGCTTGAGCCACTTAGCACTAGCACACCAGCAACAGCAGCAGTTGTTACAGCACCAGTCACCTCATCTTCTTGGACAAGCCCATCCTTCTGCTTCATATAATCAGCTTGGACTTTATCCAATTATTTGGCAGTATCCAAATGGAACACATGCATACTCAGGACTTGGTTTGCCTTCTTCTAAGTGGGTTCATCCAGAAAATGCAGTTAATGCCGAAGCTTCTTTAAGGAGGGTAAGTTACAGTGTGTTTTGTTGCATATCAGTTTGTATTTATTAGTCAACATGTACAGGTGCTTTTTCAATATATCTTTTTAAAGATCATTTGCTGTTATCAAATGTGTTAGAACTTCACAGTTTTTCCATATGCTTAGAAACATCAGAGTAGTGGAAAATGAAATCTCAGAAAAGCCTATTATATAAGAAGAGTGAGTTTAAAGTAAAACCTTTTAGATTGTAATGTTTATTATAGATTGAGATTTATGGTATGTACCAATAATTGCTCTGCTAAGTTCCTGAAAGTGAAATTTCTAGGTTAAAATTTATATAAAATCATAAGGCTTTTGATGTGTCATATCAGATTATTCTTAAAAACAAAAAGTTGTATTCCTCAGCTAAATATTTGTGTATTTTTTTTTTCCCTTTTTCTTTTTTTCTTTGTTGCCTGGGCAACAGTCTCACTCTGTTGCCCAACTGGAGTGTGGTGGCACACTCACAGCCACTGCAGTCTCGACCTGCTCGGCTCGGGTAATCCATCTACTTCAGCCTTCCAAGTAGTTGGAACCACAGGCACATGCCACCATGCCTGGCTAATTTTTTGATTTATTGTAGAGACAGGGTCTCACCAAGTTGTCCAGACTGGTCTCAAACCTCTGGACACAGGTAATCCTTTCGCCTAAGCCTTCCAAAGTGCTGGGATTACAGGCATGAGCCATTGTGCATGGCTGAATATTTGTGTATTACTGGTATATTACAAGGTATGGCTCTATAAGCCCCCCTTTTCCCTTACTAGTGCCAATGGTTGGATATTTCCAGTATTCGGGGATAAAGTTGCAGCTGAGATTTTCTGTTCCCCAACAGATTATTGCTGAAGGTGGTGGTATAGGGTTATGTGCTTTTTTCAGCAAATTAATTTTTATACCAATAAATGGTTGTTAAGAGTAATACTAGCCCTCAATATTAAAAAATGGAGAAATAAATTGTCACTTTTAAACTCCCAGTACACAGCCTTGTCCTTTGTACTGTTGAGGATGCTCTTCAAGTATTCCCCAGTCTCTTTAACACGTTTTTTTGTTTGTTTTTGTGGTTATAAAAAAAAATTAAGTTTTCCATCTTGACCATTTTTAAGTTTACCATTCAATAGTGTTAAGTATATTCACATTGTTGTGCAGCAGGTGTCCAGAATTTTTTCGACTTGTAAAACTGAAACTATAACCCTTAAACACTAAATCCCACTCCCTCAGGCCCTTGGCAACCACCTGTCTACTTTCTGTTTTTGTGGTTTTTACTACTTTAGATATTTCATATAAGTAGAATCACACAATATTTATACTTTTGTTACTGTCTTATTTAGCTCAGTATAATGTCCTTGATGTTCATCCATGCTATAGCATGTGACAGGATTTTCTTCCGCATAATAATTTATTGTATGTGTATGCCTTATTTCCTATATCTATCTTTGATGGACTTGGATTGCTTTTACCTCTTGGCTTTTGTGAGTAATGCTGCAATGAACCTGGATGTTTTTAGTACTTCCTTAATATCATCTATTTTGACAGCTTTCTGAAGTTGAGTGTGATCACAGTTGGCATGGTGATTCAGGAGACAGTTTTAGTGTCCTTTATTTCAGGGATAATATTTCTTACATATAGCATTGGTAATGCCAGTAGATGTGAGGATGATGTTCATCATGCCAAAACTTTGTCAGAGGAGCCATTATTTGGGGTAGCAGTGATGTAGACTGTGGTCACGGGTCCTTCCATTATTCCCACGTTGTGATGGATGACTTTGATGCTAAGGAACAAAAAAAGTGACTGGTGGTTGGTGATGAAGGATACAGTTCTAACTATGTTTGTTGTAAACATCAACTCCTTTTGGTTCTACCTTTATATGAACTTTGGCCTTTAATGAAGTTGCTAGTGATCTCTACAGTTATTCTGTACCAGCATTGCCATGTATGATGTTGACAAGATCTCAGTTCTAGAATTGTACTTTTATGGATCACAAACTTCCTAATCCCTTTCTTGATGGTGCCATTGGCCTTGTAATAGATGGCATCACACTAGAATGTATACATTACATAGTCAAAGTCAGTGAAGTCACTAATCACTACATTGTCCTCTTTACCAGAACTGAAAGCAGGCTTGGTGACCCAAGTGCCTAATGTACTTATATTTTTATTCTGACCCCTCACTCTCATGCTGCACAAAGATAAGCTAGAAGAACACAGAACAGCCAAGAACTGGCTAATAGCTTTGAGTCTTCTTCCCTAACTTAAATTCTGGAAAATAGATCTAAGTCATTTAAAAGTGGCTTGCAGCCAGGCATAATAGCTCATGCTTGTAGTCCCAGCACATTGTGGGGAATGCTTGAGGCCAGGAGTTTGAGACCAGCCTGGGCAATTTAGCAAGACTCAACTCTACAAAAAAATTTAGGAACTAGCTGGGTGTGGTGGCACCAGCCTATAGTCTAGCTACTTGGAAAGCCGAGTCAGGAGGATGACTTGAGCCTAGAAGTTGGAGGTTGCTTTGAGCTATGATCTCATAACCACTGTACTCTAGCCTGAATGACAGAGTGACACCCTGTCTTTAAAAAAAAAATAGGGCTTGAGATGGAGCATTACTCAGTGTGTATCACATGTACATAGACTTAAATCATGGTTGTCTAGCCTTCATGTTTGTAAGACAATAAATATTTTATTAACTGATTATAATTAATTAAATAAGTATATCAGATTTTCATTTGTTGTATAAAATTATAACATAAAAGAGTAAATTTAGGCAACATTTTGAACAAAAATGAAGATCTCTTACCCTACACTTTATTGTGACCAAAAGGGAAGAAGTAATACAAGCCCAAGATGCTGAATTAGGAAATAATTTTGAGTGGTATTTTATAGAGAAAATTTTGGTTGTCACTGCTATAATTGATTGCTATTTTAAGATTTCTGGATCCTTTTTTTTTTTTTTTTTTGAGTTGGACTCTCACTCGGTCACCCAGACTAGAGTGCAGTGGCCACTCCCGGCTACTGCAGCATCGACCTGCTGGGCTCCGGCGATCCTTCTGCCTCAGCCTTCCGAGTAGCTGGAATTACAGGTGCGCGCTACCGCGCCCGGCTGATTTTTTGATTTATTGTAGAGATAAGGTCCTGCCGCCCAGGCGAGTCTCGAACCCGCGGGCTCAGGCGATCCACTCACCTCAGCCTCCCAAAGGTGCGGGATTACAGGCTGAGCCACCGAGCCCGGCTTCTGGATCTTTTAAAACAGGTTATTTGAGACATATTTGATCTGATCCTTGTGTGTATATTTATATATTTTCTCTGATGTTTATGACCGTGGTGTGTATTTTTTAATCTAAAAACTTCACAACAGTATATTTGATCTGCTATCATACTGCTTTTGCATTACCATTTTGAGATATAAAATTCATTCTCTTTGTTAAAGGCAAAGGAGGTGGTATTTTCCTGATGTCTGACTGTTATACTATTGACAAACTCATAAAATGGGTTTTGGAAGAATGTCAGTGAGTTAAGAGTACAGAAACAATCCTTAAGCATGTAATTAGATAGTCGCAAGTCTCAACATAGAGATCACTGTCACCACATACTCATTTATGAGACTGGCAGCATATTGACGTATAAAATTAACTTAGACCTCTACACTTCCAAGTTCAATGGTCCAACAATAGCTTGTAGTGAAATGGGGAGTCCATTTGGGTTTTGAAAACGTAAGTATCTACCAGTTAATGGTAAATGGTTACATTGGTAAAGTTAATTATTTTTGACAAAAAGAATTGGTGAATGAACCTGATTATAATTCCTATTTCTGGTGAAATGTATTTTAGTTAAAGCATTGTTTTTGCTGTGAGCAACTTTATTCTTTTACTGTTAGAATCTTGGGAGATAACACAAACCTTGTTTCTGTGTACTGAGTGTATAGTAAGTTAAAGGCATTAATTTCAATATCTACTTTTAGTAAAGTAACAAATTTCTGGAAATTGCTTTTTAATATAGATTACTTTTTTACATGATATGGAAAAATTCATATAATTGTGTTGGTTACTTGTCATAATATTTTTCATAAGATGCATTTAGAAAAAGTTACAGTATTCACAAATATATTGCTATTAAATTTGTACTGTGATACTATGTTTAGCTTTTTCTAGTAACTGAAGTCTAGATTTTTTATTTTTTTGTAATAGAATTCTCCTAGTCCTTGGCTACACCAGCCCACCCCTGTGACCTCAGCAGATGGTATTGGATTACTTAGTCACATTCCTGTCAGACCTTCCAGTGCAGAGCCTCATCGGCCTCTTAAAATTACAGCGCATTCCAGTCCACCATTGACAAAAACTTTAGTAGATCATCATAAAGAGTAAGTTCACCAGTGCTTAAAATTACGAATACCTTGTCATTCATAATCTTTCTTAGTTCACCTTTCAAACAGTTAGTTTCAAGATAATGTCTTAAGACTAGGCCTTGTTCTGTTTTGATATACCTTATAATTTACTTGGTAATATTAGAGTACATGCAAGGATATATCTTTTACTTTCACAGTAGAAGGATATTGCATAGAGACTATCTTTGTATTTTGCAAGAAAAGTGATGACAAATCTTTATGTATTTTCTTTACAGAGAATTAGAAAGGAAAGCTTTTATGGAACCATTAAGGTCTGTTGCCTCTACATCAGCAAAAAATGACCTGGATCTGAATAGGTCACAGTCTGGAAAAGATTGTCACTTGCATAGGCATTTTGTGGATCCAGTAATTAATCAATTACAGAGGCCACCACAGGAGACTGGAGAGAGATTAAACAAATACAAGGAGGAACACCGTCGAATTCTTCAAGAAAGTATTGATGTTGCTCCTTTTACAACTAAAATCAAAGGGCTTGAGAGTGAGAGAGATAATTATTCCAGAGTAGCATCATCATCTTCTAGTCCTAAAAGCCATGTTATCAAACAAGATGCAGATATAGAACGCCCAGTGTCAGATCTTTATAAAATGAAGCACTCAGTGCCTCAGAGTTTACCCCAAAGTAACTATTTCACTACATTGTCTAATAGTGTGGTCAACGAACCACCAAGATCATACCCATCCAAAGAGGTTTCAAGTATTTACAATGAAAAACAGAGTAATGCTCTTGCAGCAGCAGCTAATCCTCAGACTCTGACTTCATTTATATCATCTCTTTCAAAGCCTCCACCTTTGATTAAACACCAACCAGAAAGTGAAGTTTTAGTAGGCAAGATACCAGAACATCTTCCCCATCAGATTGCATCTCACTCAGTAACAACCTTCAGAAATGATTGTAGGAGTCCTACCCATTTGACAGTTTCTTCTACAAATACACTCCGCAGTATGCCTGCTTTACATAGAGCACCAGTGTTTCACCCACCAATTCATCATAGCCTGGAAAGAAAAGAAAGCAGCTACAGTAGCCTTTCCCCTCCAACTTTAACTCCAGTGATGCCAGTAAATGCTGGTGGGAAAGTTCAAGAATCACAGAAGCCTCCAACTTTAATACCCGAGCCAAAAGACTCCCAGGCACATTTTAAGAATTCTTCTGAGCAGAGTTTGACAGAAATGTGGAGACCTAATAATAACCTCAGCAAAGAGAAAGCTGACTGGCATGTGGAGAAAAGCAGCGGAAAGTTACCGGCTGCTATGGCATCTGTCATTGTGCGTCCATCTTCTAGTACAAAAATTGATAGCATGCCAGTGATGCAGTTAGCTTCTAAAGATCGAGTTAGTGAAAGATCTTCAACTGGGGCAAATAAAACAGATTGCCTCAAGCCAGCAGAAGCTGGAGAGACTGGAAGAATCATTTTGCCAAATGTGAATTCAGACAGTACTCACACAAAATTTGAAAAATCCTTTCAGGCTGTCTCTCAGGGCAGTGTTCCCAGTTCAGTCATGTCTGCTGTAAATACAATATGTAATACCAAAACGGATGTAATCACAACTGCTGCCACTGCTACCAGTGTTTCCAGCTGGGGTGGTTCAGAAGTAATTTCCTCTTTATCAAATACCATTTTGGCCTCTACATCCTCAGAATGTACCTCTTCAAAAAGTGTCAGTCAGACAGTGGCTCAAACACAAGAATGCAAGGTCAGCACCACAGCTCCAGTTACACTAGCCAGTAGTAAGACAGGAAGTGCTATTCAGCTTAGTTCTGGGTTCTCAGGCACAACTGATTTTATCCATTTAAAAAAGCACAAGGCAGCGTTGGCTGCAGCTCAGTATAAAAGTAGTAACGTCAATGAGACTGAACCTAATGCTGTGAAAAATCAGACACCTTCAGCCTCCCTCCCTCTCGATAGCACTGTAATCTGTAGTACCGTTAACAAAGCAAACTCTGTAGGAAGTGGGCAAGCATCCCAGACAAGTCAACCAAACTACCATACTAAACTGAAAAAGGCCTGGCTTACCAGACATTCAGAAGAAGATAAAAATACTAATAAAATAGAAAATTCAGGGAATTCTGTATCAGAAATTATTAAGCCATGTTCTGTCAACTTAATAGCCTCTACATCTAATGATATACAAAATAGCGTAGATAGTAAGGTCATAGTTGAAAAATATGTAAAAGATGATAAAGTCAATAGGAGAAAAGCCAAGAGAACTTATGAATCTGGCTCTGAAAGTGGGGACTCAGATGAAAGTGAAAGCAAGTCAGAGCAAAGGACTAAAAGGCAACCTAAGCCAACTTACAAAAAGAAGCAGAATGATTTGCAGAAGAGAAAAGGTGAAATAGAAGAAGATTTGAAACCCAATGGAGTTCTCAGCAGGAGTGCCAAAGAAAAAAGTAAACTGAAGTTGCAAAGCAACAGTAATAGTAAGTTGAATTATCTTGTTTTGTCTTAGGTCAAATGGGCTGTTTCAGCAGTAACAATGTGGTTCTCTAAAGATTACTAAGTTTAAAAGGCATGTTTTACTATTATTTGCTTGTCTCAGCTTTATGTAAATGCTCATTGATCTCATTTCTACATTTCATAAGTACTCTCTAAGAGAAAATGAGAGAAGACTTACTCTTCCATTTTAAGAGTGTTGTAGAAATACATCTGTTTTACCTGCCTCTCATTGTAGATAATGTATGTAACCAATTGTGTAATTTAGTAGTTACTCATAATTTTGACCATTTCTAAGAACTGTCCAAATGCATTTATGGCTGTCACACCAAAAGTACATTCCTAAAATTAGCAAAGATGTGTACCTATAACAGTATTTACAGCCAAACACAGTGCCTCATGCCTGTAATCGCAGCATTTTGGGAGACTGAGATGTGAGGATTGCTTGATCCCAGGAGTTCGAGACCAGCCTGGGTAATATAGCAAGACCTCATCTCTACAAAAAAATAAAAAAAACTTAGCTGGTTGTGGTGGCATGTTCCTGTAGTGCTACTCAGGGATTGAGATGGAAGGATCACCTTAATCCAGGAGGTCAAGGCTGTAGTGAACCATAATAGTGCCACTACTTCCAACCTGGACAACTGAGTAAGACTTGGACTCAAATAAAGAAAAAAAATTTTTTTTAAATAGGAAAGAAATCATCACACATACTTATTTTAAGGCATATTTCTAGAAGAGAATTACAATTTTCTCTGGGTATATCTGGGGGGGATGGGTTTCAGGATGAATTGGTTTCATGGATGCACAAATGCTCAAATCCCTTATATAAAATTCTCAGATGCTCAAGTTTCTTATATAAAATACCATGGTGTAGTCATGTGTCACATTATAGTAGTCTTATAGGATTATAATACCATACTTTTACTATACCTTTACTTTGTTTAGAAACACAAATACTTAATATTGTGTTACAATTGTCTACAGTATTCAATAGAATAACATGCTATTCAGGTTGGTAGTACACTCTGATGTTCCTACAATTAAGAAATTGCCTAACAATGCATTTCTTGATACATTTCTCAGAGTATATTCACATTGTTAAACGATGCATAATTGTATTTGCATATAACTTACACATATCTTCTTGTGTACTTTAAGTTCTTTGTAAATTACTTATAATACCTATTACAATGTATACACATCATTTCATACAGATTCAACATAGTACCTTGTGTATGACAAATTCAAGTTTTGCTTTTTTTGGAACTTTGTGCAATACTTTTTTCTGAGAGTTTTTGATTCATGTTGGTTCAGTCCACGGATGCAGAACCCACTGTAATGGTGGGCCAACCACACTTCAGTGTAATATGAATGTGGCCTCTCTCTCACCCTCATCTCATCTAGTGACACAATTGGAAGCTTATTGAGATTGCCAGCTATGTAACTAGTAATGCTACTTACTCAAACATTCCTTAACACATATAAAAGTTTTTTTAAAAAAGGGAGAGACTTGTGGTTTTATGTGTTCATTTCTTTGTTAAAGAATTTCCATAATGAGTGTAGCTTCAAAGCATAATATTTATACTTTGTGACTGCAACTGGACAAAATAAGTGATGCCTATATTCACTATAAATGTGTTTCTGTACATTTTTACTATAGAAGTAGCTTTTCTCAGTCTACTTTTTCTTTTTAGGTATGTCGCACAATACAGAAAGCACTTAATAATTTCACTATATCCATGTGTTTATCCACAATACAATATACGAATTATCTGTGACAATGTGGACACTAAAGAAGTACTTTCACTAGCACTTGAATGCTTGAAGACTCATATTTGTGCCTTTTCTCTGAATGAGGTTTTCCCACATGCCTGTGGAGACCAGAGGCTAAGTGAAGGAGAGAAAAACACAGAATGGAATCATAGAAAAGGACAGTCAGAAAGTGAAAGAATGAAGGACAAGCTCAACTAGACAGATTAACAGACTGAAATGCAGTTATAGTCAGAAGACAGAGAGGGAGATTGACAACGAAGGATGCCTGCCATTTATTTGAATACTGGATTATATGCAGTGTTACTTTTTCTCATTCGTTCTCTTAGCCCCCTAGCCCGTGAATTCATGATAGGCTTAGTATGGTCAATAATTGTTTTTCTTCTCATTACATTTCCTTTGGTGTGTTTGAGTATTCAAATACTTTAGTTAAACTTAAACAAAATAGAGATAGAAACCTTGCAGCTTTTAGCACCTAAAAAACTGTTGTGAAGGTAAAGTTATAATATTAACTCTTTTTTTTTTGGGTTGGAGTCTCACTCTGTCGCCCAGACTGGAGTGCAGTGGCCGCTCCCGGCCACCGCAACCTCGACCTGCTGGGCTCTGGTGATCCTTTCGCCTCAGCCTTCCAAGTAGCTGGAACTACAGGCACACGCTACCACGCCCGGCTAATTTTTTTGATTTATTGTAGAGATGAGGTCTATGAAGTACATCTTCTGTTTTCATCTTGAAACTGAATGTACATTTTCCCAAGTTAAGAGTTCTAAGACAAAGACCAGAACCGAGTGCCTTCCTCCTCCCACCCCAGGTTGAGATGCTTAGTCATTTCTCCCCTAATTAGTAACTAGCATGTAGGTTTAGAGAGGCTATTTTAAGTCCCATTTGTTCACCCAAGTTCAAAGTAATATTAAGTCATTATTAAATGCCAGTTTGTTGACTTGCTTTTGTTCTGGGCTATCTTAGAAAAACTTTTATTTACTTTTTTTTTTTAAGGGTTTTTTTTGAAACAAGGTCTTGTTATGTTACCCAAGCCGTATTGCAGCAGCTATTCTTGTGGGCACAAGCAATTCTTTTGCCTCAGCCTCGTAAATATAGAAAAGTTCTTTAAGTTGGGATTTTTGATTAGTCAAGGAACTTCTAAATTTGAGTAGATGATCTACTTCATGGATTAAATATGACCATTTTCCTTCTAATGTTTAGTGGGGTGTTGTCAGCAGCCATGGGCAGTCAAAAAGAGTGAGCTTGGCTTGCACCTCAAGGATATAATATGATTGATTACATACACTATTACACATGTACAGTTAATATATTTTATACACACATACACGTCCAATAGTGTGTTTATTAGTACATTCTAAAGCTAGATAGGATAGTTTTTCCTTTATCTATTGTTTTGGAATGTCTTCATATCTGCTACTTTCTGTTTATTAACGTTTGGCTACTTTTCCATGACTAAGTTTTATGTTCTATTTTATTTCACATTTTGATTAATATTTTTACATTTTATCTGTGACCTGAAATTGCCTACCATATTTAAACATATCTATAAGTCTTATGATAGACAAAATGAGTAGTTTAACTAGGCTTAGAGGTAATTTATCTCCAAAAAAATATTTTTTAAGGGATAATGTATCAAAGGTTGGCATGTACTGTCTCTTACTTTCTTCTCCAGTTTCTGTTGCTAGAGCAGCTATTTATGGATTTGCTAATAGAGAAGTAAGGTTCTTATTATATAAAAGGACAACTGTCCATTGAGTTAGGTATTTTTTGTTGACTATAAATGTCCTAATTTAAAACTTTGAGTTTTAGGTATTGCCAATAAATTAGATATAGTGAATTGAAAGATGAAGTTTTATTTATTCTATTAATACTATTTCAGTTAAATTAATAAAAGGAGTTTGCAAAAGTCGTGTGTGATCTAGTCTAGAAGCAAAAATTTTAATATCAAAGAAGCAAAAATTATAATATCAAAAGCTTTCTGTATGAATTGGGCCCTCATGTCTTTGTAATTCATTCATTCCTTTTTTCTTTTTAAAAACTCTTAAGTGTCTATTTTGTGTCACATAATTGAGATTTACTCTGAAATGTCTGGTTCTTTATTGTAATGCTGTTTAAATTAATATTCACAATGATGTAGTAATTCATACTCCAAAGTATTTCATTGTCTGAAATTAAAAGCATATAGTCAAAGTAGAAATAGGTTATCTTTAGTTTATTCTGTGTAATAAATTAAAAAGGTAAATGAATTATTAGACACAGCAGTCAAAATTTATCAGAAGTGTAACAGTTCTGTCATTCTGACTTCTGAAAACTTTGAATTTTTAATATCTATAGGAAAAATTTGTCTCATACACAATGGAGGAAATAACAAACCTTTTGCTTAAGTCTTCTGGAAACGTTTTGATACCATAAGTGGGGTGAGGGGTTGAATATGCATGTGTGTTTCTCTAGTGGATTAAACCAAAAGGCTTCTTGCCCTGAGACAGAAGAGAAAGCATATAACTGTAAAGAACCAAGCAACAGTCCTGAAAGTGCTTAATAGTTGGACCTGATTTCAAATGGGTCATTCGGTAGTTTAAACACAGTATGTTCTTTATTAAAATGGGTGATATTTCTGTAATTGTACTGCTTATACCAACGGTTCCCAACCTTTTTGACATCAGGGACCAGTTTTGTGGGAGACAGTTTTTCCGCAGATGAGGGGGGATGGGATGGGATGGTTTGGCTTCAGGATGATTCAAGCACATTACATTTATTGTGTACTTTATTTCTATTATTACATTGTAATATATAATGAAATATATAGCATTACTGCCTCAGCTCCACCTCAGATCATCAGACATTAGATTCTCATAAGAAATGAGTAACCTAGGTCCCTCACATGTGCAGTTAACAATAGGTTTTACACTCCTATGAGAACCTAATGCAGCTGCTGATCTGACAGGAGGCAGAGCTCAGTCAGTAATGCCAGCGATGGGGAGTGACTGTAAATATAAATGAAACTTCACTTGCTTGCCCACTGTTCACCTCCTCCTGAACAGCCCAGTTCCTAACAGGCCACGAACTGATACTGGTCCATGACCCAGGGTTTGCGGATCCCTGGTTTATACTGTCAGCAAGTATGTAATAAATAGTGGGAGTTGTGGACAAAAGTTCTGATAAAGAGTTTCTGCAAGACTATCTAGTCTCAGAAGAATAGTTGTACCTCTGATCCCCAAAAAGGGCATGATTAGAAAATACAAGGGTAGGAAATATAGTGTAGTCTTTCAACATGACAGAAATAGCAAACTATGCCAAACTAATATCTAACATACAATTATATTAATATGGTGGAATAAGTACACTTATAAGTTAGAATCAACAAATATACCTGGTCCCAACATAGCTTGAATATGTTTATAAAAATTTAATAGGCAAATTTAATTTTTGTATAATTTTTGGGATGCTCCTGGCCTAGTGATTCTTCCTCCTCTATAGATGACTGGCTATTTGAGCCAATGTTTATATACTTGTTAAGCTCAAGTTAATAAATGTTGATGGAGTTATGACATAGAGTATGTAAATAAATTGATTTTTTTTGGCAAATAGACTCTACCCTTCTTTGATTTTTTTTTCCATTAATAAATGCAGGCCTGTTTTTTTTCTTTTACTATCTTTAAACCTTTTTATTTTTCTAAAAGTTACTGCTGCTCTCAATATGTTAATATCAAATGCAGGATATTATAATAAGGGAAAGATATTAGGAGAAATATTCTAGCCTCTCTTCCAAATACAGGTTTTATAAAATCACTTGTCTTTACCTTGGAAAATCAGATTAGGTATTTCACTATAAATATGTTGTAATTAGTCTGTAGTTTCAACATATTTCTAAAAGTATATAAACTTTTGATATTTATATTCTTCCTATGGATCTTGAAAGAACTTTCTCCTGAACCAACTTATAGTATAGAAGAACTGTGTTTTTAGTTACTGATTTACATAGATTATGAATGATTATTTTGCTTGCTATTCTATATATGTGAAATATGTGTATATAAATATATGTGATATATAAAGTCTATATACATGTATTAAATATATCAAAAGGATTACATATCTAACCCTTTGCACTCAGAGACATCTCATGGATCACCTACCAGCAAATTGACCACACTTTTTCTGTTGTTCGAAGAAGATGTGGAAGGACACACTCATGATTCCTGGAAACTGCTTTCCAACTGATCAATCATATCTCAGTATATATTCCATCTCTTTATTTGCTTTTTCATGCAAAATTGAATGGAAAACTTCATGGGAACATCCATTTGTGAAAAATTTGCACTGGCATAAGTGTCCTGTATAATCACCAGCAATCTCTTTATGTTCTCTGAAAGGGGACATCTGAGTGGTTTGCTAGATTTATGATGTTCCCCCTCAGAGGGGACATCCAAGTGCAAAGGGTTAATATGTAAAGAGTTCAGTTAGCTGGAAATTGTATTCAGTTCTGCATTTCTAGTACACTGACATAAGAGTGGTTCATTTGGCTAGTAGAATTGCTTAGTAGGTAAATAGAAATGCTACTGTGGACTTTTAGTTATTAATCAGTTTCTAAAACTCCTAATGTCTTTATTTATTTTCCACAGTCTTACTGTATTATCACAGTTGTATAACTTGAGTTTCATCTCCAGTTTAACATCTACAAAACATAATCTTACTAAACCTGTTACTGATTTTACAGCTGGCATCCCTCGTTCAGTATTAAAAGACTGGCGTAAAGTCAAGAAGCTGAAGCAAACTGGGGAATCCTTTTTACAGGATGACTCCTGCTGTGAGATAGGGCCTAATTTACAAAAGTGCCGAGAATGTAGACTGATTCGCAGTAAAAAAGGAGAAGAACCAGCTCACTCACCAGTATTTTGTAGATTTTACTACTTTAGACGGTAAGTGAAAATATAAAATTGGGAAAAAAATGTATTTATTGGAATTGGAAATTATACTGTTATTCTGAGCATCCCGTTTGGATGGGGGAATGGGACTTTTTGTTTTCTCATTTCTGAAACATTACAAAAACTTGTTAAATCCTTTTGTAATAAATTTTAACAATAGCTAACAATTGAACTAAATACATATTCACATTGTTACTTGTGTTCCATGTGACCTTTCTATTCTGAGAGAGATCTGTTCTTCTTATTGAGAAAATGTTGATTTTTTTTCTAGAAAATGTATTTTATTTAAGGATGTTTAAAAGATTTATATACTTTGGCCAAAACAATGTAGTATTTATATGTGTGCTTTAGCTAGTAATCACAAAAAGTCTGTAAAGTTTGGTAAACAATCTAGGCAATTAAACTTAAGTCAGTGCATCACATTGCAGTACCCATACTTTTGCTTTCCTAAACATTTGTAGCTGTAAAGGTACGAGTTATAATGACAAAGAGGATTTGTTCATACCAAATCACATTTTATAGGTTTTATAGTAAAATATAAAAACCACTTAACAGTTGTTATTAACCTATATACTAATTTAATATTATATAGTACATTAAAACTAAAAATTGAAATATAGACTTGTACATAAAGTATAGAGTTCAACTAAAGGATAGCTGAATTACCCATCCAATAGAGATGTCACATTCAGGAATCACTCTCGGTTGTGAATTCCATCTCTGTCCTTTAGTTCCTATGTGACTTAACTATAATAGGAGTATAACTAAGCCTATCTCATCTGTAAAATGTGAATAATAAAGGTATCTACCTCAGAGGTTTAATGACGGCTAAATGAGATAAAGTGTGCAACGTCTTTAGTGCACACATGAAAGGCTCTATCAGCTGTAATTATTTTCCTAATTTCTTCTGCTTCCTATAAAGTTTTGAGATACTTTACTTTGGTAATATATTATACTGGTAGCCTCATAGAGATCCCCAAGAAATATGCATTAATAGGATCAGACCAGGTTTTATTTCTTCTTTACTTTTTAGCCAACAGTCCCCAAATGACAGCTTCAGGGAATAGTTATAGGAGATGTAGTACATATGGAAGTGTACCAGAGATGGGGGGAAAAAAAGGAATCAAAAGGAAAGTAGATTTTGAGGGATAAGAAAATCTAGGAAAAGTGTGAAGAAAAGAAATGTTCAGGCAAAGATTGCAACATAAAACTGAAGATGATGGGTAATGACAAAGGGAAAATTTTGGTTTAAAGAAAAGAGACCAGCACATTAGCTCATTTCTGTAATCCCAGCACAGAGGCTGACATGCAAGGATTGCTTCAACCTGCAAGTTTGAGACTAACCTGGGCAATGTAACGATACCTTGCCTTCTACAAAAAATTAACCCAGCGTGGTAGCCCGCAACTGTAGTCTCAGCTACTCTGGAGGCTATGATGGGATGATTGAGTGGCCTAGGAGTTTGAGGCTGCGATTAGCCGTGGTTGTGCCCCTGCACACCAGCCTGAATGACAGAGTGAGACCCCAACTTAAAAAATTAAATACATAAAAGTGTCATTTTAATTAATTAAAGCATATGTGGCTTTTTAAAAAACTTCTTTCAGTGAAAATCTTAAGGCAATTTAGATTCAACTTTAGTGATTCCTGATTTAGGTTATGTATAAAATAAAGCATTGCTCTGGGCAGTATTGAGCCCACATTTTTACTCTTGTCACTCATCATAGGGATGAAGTTAAGTAATTAAGCATAAATTATCTTATTTAATGAAATAACCTAAAATTGGTACAGCTTATCCTTGCCATTTGCATAACACCTATGAGTTATATAAACGATTACATTAATTCGGTCATTAAAGTGTATAAACTACCCTATTCTCCTGTTTTTAAATTATAATTTAGAATGCAGTATAAATATACCAATTATAAACTTATGTTTAAAAACTGGATTTTTGCTTTCATTTGTTGGTATCTAATGCTTTTATGTTTTAATGTTTCAGATTGTCATTTAGTAAAAATGGAGTGGTTAGAATAGATGGTTTCTCTTCTCCTGACCAATATGACGATGAAGCTATGAGTTTATGGACACATGAAAATTATGAAGATGACGAACTAGACATAGAAACTTCTAAATATATCTTGGATATAATAGGTGATAAGTTCTGTCAGTTAGTAACATCTGAAAAAACAGCTTTGTCCTGGGTGAAAAAGGATGGTAAGGAAGTTAAATATAGCACAACTGTACACATTTTAAGAATTTTTTAAAATCATGTTTAATCTGTAAAAGAAGTTCCTAATCTTATCTAGTTTTGTTGATTTTTAATTATGATAATGACACCTTTTTATGCACAAGTGTACCTATATGTACTTAAGGCTACGGATATTTTCCTATTCAGGTTGGAAAGAGTGGATTAACCACTTAAGAGATTGCAATAGCATTTTGCTGTTTTTTCCTTTACAATATAAGTTAGTGTGATAAAACCACTTTGGATACAATATTGAGAAATTTCAGCATTTGACATAAAACAGTCCATCCCAGTATGGCCTTTGGCAAATAACCTCTGAACATCAGGCAGGTCTGTGAAACAGATAAGATAGCTACCTCATAAATTTATTTAAGAAGTAGTTATGTTAATATGTTTATGTAAAGAACTTAACAGTATCTAACACTAGATGGCCTAAATACTAAAAAAATTTATTTCTCTTTTCCCCCCCTTCTCTAAAATCAGTGCTTTATCCCCCAAGGGACATTTGGTAATGCTGGAGACATTTTTGGTTGTATATCTGAAGGGAATGGGGGTATGCTGCTAGCATCTTATAGGTAGAGGCCACAGATGCCATGGAACATCCTACAGTGCACAGAATAACCCCTCATAACAATAAATTATTCAACCCAAAATGTCAGAAGTGTCAAGTTGAAAAACCCTGCCTTAGTTATAAGCCATTTTTATATCACTTATAATTATTTGTGGGTCTTAAGACAAATTATTAATTACTTCATGAAATCTGCTGCTATTGGTCTTTAGGTAATGTAGCCTTAAAACTTCTTGGTTTGCCTTTACATTTTTATTTTTGCTGTATTTCAGCCAAAATTGCACTGGAAAAGAGCATGTTTGCCTTTAAATTTTTGTTTTTATTCTGTATTTCAGCCAAAATTGCCTGGAAAAGAGCAGTAAGAGGAGTCCGGGAGATGTGTGATGCTTGTGAAGCAACATTGTTTAACATTCATTGGGTCTGCCAAAAATGTGGATTTGTGGTGTGCTTAGATTGTTACAAGGCAAAGGAAAGGAAGAGTTCTAGAGGTTGGCTGATAAGTTTATATAAGTTGAAATTTTTAACCATTTTTTTTTTTAGGATCATTAATCTGAAAAATTAGATTTTTTTCTACCTTTTCTTGATTTCTAAATATATTAAATACATTTTGTGATGTTTGTAAGAGGAAGAGTACTCATAATTTACTAGTGACTATATTTTTCTATAATTAACCAGCATTTATAGCCTTCAGTCTTGGGAGTATATTCATTCTCTCATTTCAGGTCAATAGTTCCTTAATGTAGCCCAAATTTAGGTTAAGTCTTGTTGCTTTAATATTCTAGTGTGTGGACCAGACATAGTGGTCCTTGGGAGGCTGAAACAGAAGGATTATTTGATGTCAGGAGTTTAAGATCAACCTGGACAACATAGGAAGACCCCATCTCTATTTTGTTTAAAAAAGTATTTAATTAAAAGCGTTAGCTGAGCATGGTGGCACGTGTCTATAGTCCTAGCTACTCAGAAAGCTGAGGTGAGGATCTCTTGAGCCCAGGAATTTGAGGTACAGTGAGTTATGATCTTGCTACACCTGCCTGGGCAACAGAGTGAGGACACCCCCACCCATCTCTGTTTAAAAAATAAATGTAAAAGATTCCAATGTGTAGTCGTTTTCGAACCTGTTAATTATTCAGTCATACTTACAAGTCATAACTGAGTACTTACTAGTATAGTTTGATTTTTCTGAATATTAGTCTATAGAGTTCAGATTAAAACGTTGAAGAATATGCTGCCACTAGCAACGTTTATCCCTGTTCTTAGAGAATGAAGAAGAAATTCTTATAATTTGAAAACAGACTTTTCAACAGTTATTTCTAATGTCTTAGTAAATAAAATGGCACATAAACAGTGTTCACGTGTTAATAAGGCTTGAGATAATGCAAGGCTTATTAAAAAAAGGAAGTAACTTAACTAAATGCATCAAAAGTATTTCAGAAAAGGTTTATCCAAGACAGTTTTCGAAGTGACTGCCTAATACTGGTATTTAGTTATCTGTTAGGGCCAAATTTCTGATGAATTGAGAAGAATTAGTATTGTGGAAGTATTAGAAGTAAATACTGGTTATAGACTGTCAGTGTCTTTATATAGTGAATGTCATTTCCATCATCTAGGTAGCTGTTTTTCAAAGTATAATATCCGGTAGATGAACCACAATTTAGCCATCAGTAACTTCTAATGATAGGATTACTAAAGCCTTTTTTTTGTTTTGTTTTTTGAGTTGGAGTCTCACTCTGTCGCCCAGACTGGAGTGCAGTGTCATGCTTCCAGCCACTGCAGTCTCCACCTGCTGGGCTCCGGCGATCCTTCCACCTCAGCCTTCCAAGTAGCTGGAACCACAGGCATGCGCTACCACACCTGGCTAATTTTTTGATTTATTGTAGAGATGAGGTCTTGCCAAGTTGCCCAGGCAGGTCTTGAGCCCAGCCTTTTAACCTTCATGGCCCTTTTTCTTAAACACTTTTTCTTAAGCATTCACCAAAGAAACCTGAGTAAACCTGGAAGCATATCTGAACATCTGCAGCTAGGTGTTTCTGGGATATGCAGTACTTATGTAACTGCTAGTAAAATGTGAAACCATAATAATGTATTTAAATATTTTTAAAACCATAAAAATTATTTTGATGTTTTAAGTTAATAGAACTAGCTACATTGTTACAAAACTTCATGACATGACATGCCTTTTATATTCCTTTTTCTTGGTTTTATATTTTGTTTTTTCTTTGCCAGATTAAAAAGTAATTTTCATTTGTTCTGTTTTGCTATATTGTATGCATATATAAGCTACCATGAATCCTTTTTTAAAACAAGATATTTATAATAAACCTGAATTGTTGTATTGCTGCTAATTTTCATAGTACTAATAATTTTGAACATACAGTTTGTTAGTCACTATATTATTTCAAATACAGATTATGCCTTGGGTTATATTGTGTTATCTGTATATTTTTATTTCACTATTAAATATTGTAATAAACCTCACATTGATTAGTTCTGATATAGCTTTATATAGTGATATAGTGGTTGTGAAATGTGTCTATAAGTGTCTCATATATAAGCAATTAGAAATCACAAGTTACTGTGTAGGCTTTGCAGAGGAAAGTTAAAGCTTTTAAAAGTAACCAATTTTAGACTGGATTATAATTTTATGTAATCTATACTTTTTATGAAACAATAGTTCTCAATTTTTTATGCTGAATTTATTGAGCTCTGCGATATTGAAGCTCATAAAGCCATGCCATAGGTAGCTGTGTATATCATTATAAGCTTATGAAGAAAGTTCTTCTTGAGTTCAAGGTATGGAATATTTTTTCTGTTTATAGTATGCACCATGCTGTGCCTTAATATGTTTACAGATCCAGGTATGAAGCCTTATTTGAAGGCAACAATAGCAGTTAATAATAACTATATGGTACTAGCTTTTTCTCCTGACAGTTCTGTATGTATCTTTGAAGCACAAGAGGAGAATGAGTTGGCAGTAATCTCAAACTTGTGTCAGTCTGATGTACCAGGAGCAGGCACAAACTGGCATAGAAAATAAGTTAAGAGAGAAAAGGAGTTTAGTTATAGAGAAGGAAGAAGTGACTGTCATTATAGCAAACACTAGTAATTTTAGAAAAGGCTATCACTGTATCTATTTTGTATCATTGTTATTATACAATTTTTCAAATGATAGAACTGGTTGGTTTTGTTTTTTTTTTTTAGAACCAAAAATCTGAAGCACATTATTGACATTTTATATCACTAATTTCTTTATATTCAAGCCATCAATTTTAAAACCATGAGTGTGATATAAAACAAGGTATATTATTTTACAGATAAAGAACTGTATGCTTGGATGAAGTGTGTAAAGGGGCAGCCTCATGATCATAAACATTTAATGCCAACTCAGATTATACCTGGTTCTGGTAAGTATAAATATATGTTATTTACTTAGTTTAGTGGCTCCTGGTTGCTCCAGATTAAAGGAGAACCAAAAGGAGTATTTAGGAGTATAACAGAATGAGAGAGGAAAGGTTTAACTAGTCTTGAATTGTTTTGCTTAAAGTTACTGGAAATCCTCTCTGTAATAATGCTCAGAAATAAGCCCAGCCTCAGTGATGAAGAAAGTTATAGAGGAACCATTTTAGAAGATAAAAACTAGAGGATAATGAACGGCTTATTGGATTTACAGTGAATGCTTTTTAAGATTTTTGAGCACTCTGAACTGTTAATAGAGATGGGAGGAAAAAAATAAAGGACATAAATTTATTTGAATGATCTAGTCTACATTAGATGAAAGAGAATGGAGAAAAAAATGGAAGCAAATTTAAAGAGCACAAGAAAAACCTCTATTGTTCCTAATTATAAAATAAAGTAAGAAAAGGTTATAGTCTTAACAACTAGTAGTAATTTTTTTTGTTAACTACCATTTTATTTTATAGTTTTGACAGATCTTCTAGATGCCATGCACACCCTTAGGGAAAAATATGGTATTAAATCCTATTGTCATTGTACTAACAAACAGAATTTACAAGTTGGAAATTTTCCTACAATGAATGGTGTATCACAAGTGAGTAAAACTCTCTGATTATTCAAATAAAATGTGTGGTTAAATCAACTTTGGAAATTTCAATATGGTGTGTGTGTGATGTGAATTGTTTTCTGTGTTGTGTAAATTTATTTTAACTACTACTTTTAACTCTGAATAACTGAAGAAAAGTTTTTAAAAATGTAAATGTTTTACCCTTGTAGGTTTTACAGAATGTTCTTAATCACAGTAATAAAATTTCTCTGTGCATGCCTGAGTCTCAGCAGCAAAATACTCCTCAGAGATCTGAAAGTAATGGCAACAGCAGCCCAGGGAGTGATGTAAGCACAGATAGCAAGTTAACTCCTCCAGAATCCCAGTCACCACTGCACTGGTTAGCAGATCTTGCAGAACAAAAAGCCAGAGAGGAAAAAAAAGGTAAACATAACTTTATTATCTAAATGTATATTAGAGGATTATGATATAACTAACATTGTACTATTGTACATTAAATATTAGTTTAATTTAAACAATGTACTTAGGCCTTTTGCTTGAATCGTGGCCTTAGATTCAACCAAAAATTTGTCTTCACATAGTAGTAACTAACCTTTGTGTGATTTTCAGTAGTTATTCACAGAATCATTTGTGGGTAAGCAGATCAGTAAAGCCACCTGATGACTGCCATTGCTACGATATTTTATTTTGTGACGGGTACAAACACAGCAACATGTCTTAAATATTGGGGAAGATCTTCTCATATTTAAATTGACTTCATTCTGAAGGCTCTAACTCACCTTCAAGTTTGTGTTTATGAGAATAAATCATTAGCGCTTCAGTTTTTATATCCCAATATAAAATGCCAGTGCCAGTTTTGTCAGTACTTTAGTATGCTTAATTGAATTATGTGAAATTTTTTATTTCAGAAAACAAAGAATTTGCTCATGAAAAGCAAATTAAAGAAGAGAGAGAACAAGACAACTCTGATTCTCCAAATGGCAGAACATCACCTCCTGCATCCCAGAATAATGAGCAAGGCTCAACCTTACGGGATTTGCTGACTACAACTGCTGGCAAGCTGCGCGTGGGCTCTACAGATGCTGGCATTGCCTTTGCCCCAGTGTATTCAATGGGAGCCCCAGTGAGTGTAATGCCCGATTTTTGCTTTCTTTTTTTTTTTTTTGAGTCAGAGTCTCACTCCGTTGCTCAGGCTGGGGGGCAGTGGCACACTCATAGCCACTCCAGCGTCGACCTGCTGGGCTCCCACAATTCTTGCACCTGAGTATTCCAAGTAGCTGGAACTATAGGCACAGGCTACCATGCCTGGCTCACTTTTGATTTATTGTAAAGATGAGGTCTTGGCAAGTTGCCTGGGTTGGTCTCAAACCTGTGGATTCATGCAATCCACTCACCTCAGCCTCCCAAAGTGCTGGGATTACAGGCTGAGCTACCAAGCCCAGCCACGATTTTTGCTTTAATTTTGAGCCTTAAATAGAGGTAGATACTTGGCTGTTAGCTATAAATTACCCAATACATAGATACAGATGAAATTAAGTGTATTGAATTGCTAGACATGTTCCTGTTTGCGTTTTAACTCCAAAGCTGGCATTTTCCATCTTCTTTTCCGAGGTGAAAGTTTGTAAGAGGAGGCTCTTTGATGCCAGAAAAACTCTGAGATACCTCTTTAGCTTTTTAAAACCATTTGTCTAGTGGAGGAACACCCATATGAAAATGAATTTTTTATGTTACTTAAAAACCAAAAAGAAAAAACTGAGGAAGAAAGAAAATCTGAGTAATTACCTAGGTAGATTAAAATTTGTAGTGACTTTTAATTGTAGTGGCTTTTAAAAGTATATGAGGGATTCCACCTATCAGTACTCTCTCTCTGCCTAGGCATAAAGCAATGTAAGAGGTAGGAAGGCTGCTATACTTCTAGGTTCTGCAGACCTGGCAATTTCTTTCACTTCTTGTCTTCATTGGTTGGAGGCAGTGTGAATCCATATCCACTAGCATAGCTTCATATTCTTGACTGCAGTGATAGTTTTAAGAAATAACAGTGTATGGGAGGCAAATGCTCTCAAATATATAATTTTTTCAGTTTATTTCTTTTTTCTTAATAGAGTGGCAAAAGTGGACGGACTATGCCTAATATTCTTGATGATATAATTGCTTCAGTTGTTGAAAATAAAATTCCACCAAATAAAACTTCCAAGATAAATGTAAAACTAGAACTTAAAGAAGAACCTGAAGATAGCAGAAAATCTGCCATTAGTGAAAGTAATAAATTGTTCAGTGATATACCACATTCTTGGATCTGTGAGAAGCATATTTTATGGCTTAAGGATTATAAGAATAGTAATAATTGGAAGCTTTTCAAAGAATGTTGGAAAGAAGGACAGGTGAGTATTTGAGCTAGTTAAGTATACTCTTCATGGAACTGAAGTTTCCCAAATAGACAAAATGGTTTTCTCATTAGGGACAGAAATAGAGGGGGTAAGAAATAACACTTATCACATTTGGAGTGCAATAAGAAATTAGAAATTCTGAAAAGATTGCCTCAGTAATTGTTTCTGAATGACTGTTTTTTGGCCAGATTTATATGAATTAACAGGGAAGCACTGATTATTTGATGTTATATTTTTCACCTGTCAGAGAATAGACATCTAATAAGGCCTTATGTTTACATAATTCAGTTCATCTCTCCTTTTTTGAGCTGCATTTTAGTCCAATTAGCAGATTCATATCTACTATTAATATGTTTACATTAGAAGCACTTTTCACTTAACCAATTAAGTATAGATGTTTTCATATATTAATGTTTACACATAGTACATTTACTTAGAACTTAGTTCATCAGATCTTGAATGACAAACTATATTATTTCATTTTCCTTTAATAAAAATGATTTTCTGTTTGATAAAAGTTTTGATATAATGTTTAATATACATTTCACATGACAATTTGGTACATGAATGCAAAGTTATGAACAAATTTAAGTATTTATATGAAAGTATTATATTGTTGAATTTCTTGTTTTAACAAAAACATCACTGCTATTTTATTATACTTTGTTCATTCAGCAGATAGTTGTTGAGCATCTAATAAGATCCAGTCCTTGTGCTAGGCATTAAGACTAAAAATGAGTAAGGTGACCAGACATAGTGTCTCACGTCTATAATCCCACAGCACTTTGGGAGGCCAAGTCAGGAGGATCACTTGAGCCCAGGAGTTCAAGATCAACTTGGGGAACACAGTGAGACACTGTCTATATAAGAAAAAAAAAAGAGTAAAATAGATACAAATTGGTAAGAGCCATTTAACTGCAATGGTTATTGATCTTCTTAGGTCACTAATCCCTTTTACAATCGGTTGAAAGCTTGGTCTGTCTCCTCAGAAGAAATATGTGCATGTGCATTGCATATAAGCAAGATTTAGCACTTATTTTTTGGCTGGGTCTCCTTGAAGCCCTGATGCAAATTGCTACATAGAAATTTAATTTTGTGTGGGTTTTGAGGTAGAAAACAGCCACATAAATAAATGTTTCATAAATATGGTAAACATTCTAAGAACTTTGTTCAAGGTGCTATAGAAACCCAGAAAGGGAATGGTGAAATTAGGGTACCTGTTTAAAAGGCCAGTCTATATTGATTCCTCAGAAGGTTAAGTGGAATTTTGTTAGGTAGATGAGAGACTGGACATAAACAGTTAACATAGGTGTTTGGGGAACTCTGAATAGGCGTGATTATCTGGAACATAGATGAGGATTCTGTGGGAGAATGGTGTGGAAAGGAGGTGGTTAGGGGAGTTATTATGAAAGGTTCTTACATATCATGCTAAGGTGTGTTAACGTTATACCACAGGTGATAGGTTTTTGTTTGTTTTTGAGTAGGAGTTTCACTCTGTCACCCAGGCTGGAATGCAGTGGAACACTCATAGCCACCGCAGCCTGGACCTGCTGGGCTCAGGTAATCCTTCTGCCTCAGCCTTCCAAGTAGCTGGAACCACAGGCACATGTCACCGCGCCTGACTAATTTTCTTCATTTATTGTGGAGATGAGGTCTCGCCAAGTTGCCTAGGCTGGTCTGGAACCCCTCGATTCAGGCAATTCTCTCGCATCCATCTCCTAAAGTGCTGGAGTTATAGGCGTGAACCACCACACCTGGCAGGTCATAGTTTCAATTGAGGAATCTATATTATCAGATTGACATTCAAAAATAACTGACAGCAAAGCAGATTAGAAGTTAATTATAGGAACACCAGAGGCAAGGAGTCTTAATTAGGAAGCCTGGCACAGTGACTCAGCACTTTGGGAGACCAAGACAAGGCTTGAGGTCAGGAGTTCAGGACCAACCTGAGCAAATGAGTGACACCCTGTCTCAAAAAAAAAAAATGAGCTGAGTGTGGCGGCATGTACCTGTAGTTCTAGCTGTTTGGGAAGCTGAGGCAGGAGTATTATTTGAGCCCAGGAGTTCAAGGCTGTAGTGAGTTATGCTCATGCCATGTACTGTAGCCTGGGCGACAGAGCAAGACCTTGTCTCTTGAAAATAAACTAAAATAAAGCCTTATAGTATTTCGGGAAGATTATGAGGATAGATTAAGAATTTTGCTTTGAATTATTCTAATTAACTTACAGCTATCATTTTTTAAAAAATCTACTTTAAGCTGCTGATTATCATAAGGAATTGTGGCATGGAACTGGACAGGAGTATTTTATTGGATAGGAACTAGGAATTAATATGTTAATTACCAGCAATAGTTAGTTGTCTAGTAATTGTATCTATTTTAAGAATTGGATGTATTATTAGCCTATTGAAAGGACATTTGATGGACTCAACCAAGAAGTTAAATAAAATTTAGAGTAGTTGTGTTTTTGTTTTTGTTTTTCTTTTATGTCTTTTGTGGTGAAATCTCTAGCTAGAGATTATTTTGCTTTTCTGGTTCCCAAATTTTAGTTAGATTGCAAATTTAAAAATACTTACAACACCATTAATCTTTAAAAAAATTTTCTTTGTTTTCTGTCTTTTATTTCAATGGGATTTCTTTATGTTGCCCAGGCTAGACAAGAACTTCTGGGCTGAAGCAATCCCCTCTCCTCAGCCTCTTGAGTAGCTGGGAGTACAGACGTGTTCCACCATGTTCAACCTAATAAATATCATTTTTCAGAGATTCTTAACTTACTGTGTTCTCTAAGTTCCAGAATTTTACTTCATTTAGAGTAAAGGAAATTTTTAAAACCTGAGGTTCATAATATGTTAGATGGTTTAAAAAATGTCTTTACATTCTTTATTGGAGATTTTGAAGCTATAAATTTTCAACTGTTGGTTTATGGGTTAGAGGGCTTTGGGAAAATCTGAATGCATGTGCTTTCAAAGGAAAGATTCACTTTTAGAAAGGCTGGTCATTTGATTTGAAATGTAATATTATACCTAGGTGTTTAATATTTTTATTTATCATGATCCTTGTAGTAAAAACTCATTGTATATACGTTATATATTTTTGTTTAAAGATACTGCTAGCGTATATACATTCGATTAAATAGCTTTTGTTCTGCCCATAAAAATAAGTGTATAGATAAGGTAACCAAAAAAATTTATAGTTCTGCTAAGAAGTGGACTTTTTAACATAGCCTTTCAGTCTTCTTTTCTGAGAATTACTACACATTTATTATTATTTAAAGATGGACTTGCTCCTTTTCTGAGCTGGAGTGCAGTGGTACAATCTTGGCTCACTGTGACCTTAAGCTCCTGGTCTCAAGTGAGCCTCCCACTTCAGCCTTCGAGAAACTGGGAATACAGGTACATGTCACTGTGCTTGACTAATTTCATTTAAAATTTTTAGTAGAGACAGAATCTTGCTCAGTTGACCAGGCTGGTCTCAAACTCTTGGCCTCAAGTGATCTTCCCACCTCAGCCTTTCATAGTACTGGGATTACAGATATAAGCCACTGCACCCACCCTTACCACACACTTATGTTTGTTTTCAAAAATACCATTTACATTCTCTCATTTTTAAAATTTTTTTTTAATTTATTTTTTTAGTCGGAGTCTCACTCAGTCATCCAGGCTGGAGTGCAGCGGCACAATATGGCTACCACAACCTTGACCCACTGGGCTCAAGTAATCCTTCTGCCTCAGCCTCCTGAGTAGCTGGGCCTACAGGCATACAACATATGAGACAAGGGCTCACCATGTTGCCCATAGTAGATGATTTTTCTTTGACAGTATATTGTGAATCTCTTTCCTGGTCAGGTCCTATTTTTAATAATCTCTTTTTATACTCTCAGGTTCATCATTAGGCATGAAACTTAATGTGTTACCTATTTGTTATATGTACATGTAAAGTCAAATTTTGAATTGTTAACTGTTATTTATTTATTTATAAGCCTGCAGTGGTTTCTGGTGTGCATAAGAAAATGAATGGTAGCCTGTGGAAGGCGGAGTCCGTTAGTCTTGATTTTGGAGACCACCAAGCTGATCTTCTGAACTGCAAAGATAGCATCATTTCAAATGCCAATGTTAAGGAATTCTGGGATGGTTTTGAAGAAGTTTCAAGTATGTTGGTTTTTGTTTTACTGTTTTCTTTATCATATCTCCCCAAAAATGATAACTTTAATATGTAACTTAAATTTTTAGTTTTGAAACTTGTATTACATTGTGGTCTAATAAGACACAAGTAATTGGAAACAAAATACTAGATCATCCAGTCTCTAACACTAATATTCTTTGACCTTAAGGAAGCCATTTATACTATGTTATCTTACATATGCAGAAATTTTTGGAAACCTCATGAAACTGTGAAAATTGAATTATACAGTTGATGTGAAACACTTTGAAAATTAAAAGTATAAGTGTAAGATGCTAAAAAGTTCTTGCAAGTGGGTAATGGAATTTATTTATTTATAAAAGGAACAAAAGTTTTAATACTAAATAAGTATATAAGGAATAAAAGTAACTAAGCTTTCATTAAGCATGTACTATACAAGAGTCAAATCATTTACTTTTCCTCCTTTCGAAACATTAATAAAAATAAAAGGGTAAAACTACATTTTTAGTAATTATCTGCATTCTTTATAGAACGTCAAAAAACCAAAAGTGGAGAAACAGTTGTTTTAAAATTGAAAGATTGTCCTTCAGGAGAAGACTTCAAAACTATGATGCCAGCAAGGTTTGAAACTTCATTTTGACTCTTGACTTTTTTCAGTTGAACTGAGATTATCCCCAGAGGTAGGATAAGTAACTACAAATTACATGTAGTCTCAATAAGTAAATAAAATGCAAAATTGAATCTCTGTAGCTTTATTGGGAAGTAGAGGCAGGGGAGTCTGTGTTAGGGCAGTGAAGGAAAGAAATGCTCATGTTAAGGAACACAGAACCCTGTTTAGGACCTTCCTTGTGTTGGAGCTTTTAATTTGTAGTGGTTAGGGAAGCCAAATTGCTTTTTCAGTCAATATCATGTCTGTTTTTATATTCATTTAAATTTGGAATGAAGTAAAAATAAAATAAAACAAATTTGGAATGAAGTCAAGGAAAGCATTACCAGTCTTAAGAAAAGGTTGTCTGATGATTTGAACAACTTGAAAATTATATATTTGAAAGCACTTAAAAATGCAAATCTTTAATGGAAGGCAATGTTGTTATTCTTCAGATATGAAGATCTTTTAAAAAGTCTCCCATTGCCAGAATATTGTAATCCAGAAGGAAAATTCAATTTGGCCTCTCATTTGCCAGGATTTTTTGTGCGTCCTGATCTAGGACCCAGGTTGTGCAGTGCCTATGGTAAGTATATATTCACATTTCTCCCAAGTAGGAATTATATTAATTGTCTAATGGTTTTTAGTTTCTGCTAATTCTTTTCTTTTAATTCGTTGAAATCCTTTTTAAATATTAGTAGTGTGTTAGGAAGTAACAGCCAATATAAAGTTAAATACTTGCTAATTTCTTGTAAAATAGTCAACATTTTTTATTATTTGACTTTTTAAGGTAATAGGGAATCTTTAAATAATATAAATACAATTAAATATAATTGTAAAAATAATAGGACATTTTATAGATTGTGGCTTTTGGGCAGGTTTTTGTAACAAGACAAAAACGCAAATTGCAACTTATAAATTATGCTGATAGAGCTAATTTGGGGATATGTCTGATTATATTGTTAAATATATAAAGTATTTTGTCAAGTAAAACTTTGTTTTATACACAGGTGTAGCTGCTGCTAAAGATCATGATATAGGAACAACAAATCTCCATATTGAGGTTTCTGATGTTGTAAATATTCTAGTGTATGTTGGAGTAGCAAAAGGAAATGGCATTCTCTCAAAAGCAGGTAAAGAAACTTAAAGAATAGTGGTCTTTGGAATAACCATTGAATCATCACATATACTAGTGTCACCCAGAAAGTCAGCTTCAGAATTAACAGCAAAAAATCTAGACAGAATTGCAATGAGTTGGGGGGTATTTTAATCTTTATTATTTGAAGATTGATTAATTGTTTTTTTATGCAAGTAAAAATTTAAAAGTAAATATTTTAACATCATTAAATATTGTGATTTTTATGAAAGTATATTGTCAAGCTCACTTTTAAATATTTATTGAAGCTTTAAAAACTAGGTCCTGGGGCTCTAAAGATGATTAAGGTATGGTTTGTGCCTCAAACATTTTTTTTTCTATCAGAGAAAATAGGGTCTTTTCCTTCTAACCAGAGTAACCTTTGTATCTAGTACATAGGTTTTAGTTTCTATCCTCTGGATTTCTTTCTGAAACCTTGGATTACCAGTTATTTTTTTATACAGGCATAGGTGTACTGTCTTCACCTTTACCCTCTCTGCTGACTTTTTCTCTCAAAAATAGAAACAGAGTCTATGACTATTCTTTCTCAAAAGTAAGACCTTCAGACCTTTCCATCATGCTACCATCCCTACTCTCATAAGAAATACTTTGATATCTTGTCATCTTCCTTTCACATTTTAACTTATTGTAGTCTTGCTTCTATACCTGCCTGAAATTACTATTGCTACTGCTGTCATTTACACACATTTGGACAATTCAGTGGTGTCTTTCTGGTTCATTTTTTAATCATCCATGTATAATAAATGACACTGTTTATTACTACTTCTTCAGATATCATCCTTTGCTTCTGGGACACCACTTCCTGATTCTGACACCTTATGTCACTTACATATATTACTAACCTTTTTTTACTGGACATGCAGTTTCTTTTGAAACCCTAGGCATACATATCAGTGATCTACATCATGGCTGACATTACTAAGCTGTGAATGGATTCCCAGCTTAGTGGCTAGGTGCTGGGGACGTGGGATTTATTATAGTATTCACTCTGCTTTTGTGTACATTTGACACTTTCTGTATTATACAACCTAAATTTTCTCAAAACTATAAAAATTCATTTTATGTTATGTTTCTTACTTCCCTTAACCAGCCCTACCTTGTAGAGATTTGAGAGTCACTAGGCACACTCGAATTATAGTCCCAGCTCTGTTACAGAAATGTGTGACCTGTGGCTCAGATTATTTATGCTTTTTAAGCTAATGATGTCACAGAGTTAAATTATCTTGTACTTCATTATACTTTGTTCGTAACCTTCCCTACAGTACTTCACTGTACAATGTAGAAATCTGCTTGCTTTGTTCTCCATTACTATTAATTCATGTCCTTAAATACTGTAACTTTGTTTCTGCATACTCCCCAGCCTCTATTTCTAGCAAATAATATTTGGTCTTTTGAGAAAACTTTCAACATTTTAAATAATTCTTTGACTGTCATTTCTTTATTTATTTACTTACTCTATAGAGCTTTAGTCACTTTTATAGGTGGTCCCAAAGAAAGCAACATTTTAGTGTTATAATGATGTTTAAAATACATTTTTTAAATGCTGACCTTGTTAAAGCATGTGCTTTTTTCTCCACCTGCAGTATGTCTCTTACCTCCTTCAAAATGTAACTCAGGTTGTCATTCACCTTAGAGGTCTTCGTTAAAAAAAAAGTAAACTTACTCTAACCATTCTTTCTTAGGGTTCACTCCCACCTGGCTTGCCACTACCCTATTTATTTTAATTTGTAGGTAATAAAATTTAAAGGAAAAAATCAGAAAACTAGGGTTTCCAACTTTTAGTTTTGTTAAGAAAATACATTTACAAACATCACCTGTTATCTTTAAAACACTTTAACTCTCTCCATAAGAAGGATATAATCAGGATAAAGGATAGTTTATTTTTATGATAAATGTTTTATTGTCTTTAAATTTCTTGTTTTACCGTGGAATAGGAAAAAATGTTGTCACAGGTAACATTTGAGAACTGAGCCACTCTTTATGCCCATTGAACTGATAATGATTGCACTTCTCACGTTGTGATGTGTATTTCTCTAGATTTATTAGGACCCTCTTAAAGGTCATGAGATCTTGACTGGATCTTTCTAAACTCTAATCGCCAACATCCTAGGACAGTGTCTGGCACTTTGCAAACACTTTCTAAATGTTTGAATTAAGAAAAACTTGCAGCAAAGTTTGAATATAAAAAAGATTTTACTGTCACAAATTAGAAAACACCTGATGTTTCCTTAGTATCAGGCAACAGCTTTTTCTTTTCAAAGAACTTTTCTTGTAAGTGAGAACACATGGTATTTGACTTTCTGTTGAGTTGCTTCACTTAAGATAATGGGCTCCAGTTGCTGCAAAAGATGTGATTTCATTCTTCTTTGTGGCTAAGTCGTATTCCACTGTGTATATATACTACATTTTCTTTATCCAACCATCCACAGATGGGCACTTAGGTTGACTTTCGTATCTTAATAGACATTGGAGACTCAGAAGAATGAGGGACTGGAGGGATAGGTGATGAGAAATTTCTTGATGGATACAGTGTACACTATTGGTGATTTTTTAATACTGAAAGCCAAGACTTTTTACCACTACACAGTGTGTCCATGTAACAAAATTGCAGTTATGCCCCTTAAATTTATACAAGTTTTTTTGTTACAAAGAGCATTTCTTTAAAATATTCACTGTAGTGAAATTGGTTAAAAAGAAGATCTTCCTATTGTTCTATACTTAGAGACAACCAACTAATATTTTCACATATATACTTCCATAATTACTTGGGTACATACATATATATGCAGAGTTTTTTAATTTGTCAACTTTTTAGAAGGATGGTGTGATATTTCTTCAAAACCACAACTTTGTTGTTCATGAAACACTTTTGTTTGATTACAGAGTAACTATAATAAAACATGAAATCCTGCAGGAATTAATCAGTTATACAGTTTTCTTTGACATTCATTAGTCATGTTAATAAGCAGATCCCTTCTCCTCACCAAACCTTTTCACTCAGGTATACAGCAGAGGTTATGATTTCTGCCTACCTTACCAAGTAGTTATAGGAGTAACTAATAAATGATCATAAAAGTCCCTTGGAAGTTATAAAATGCTATGAGTACAAGTCATTGTTATGACTACCCTACTGGCACTAGGAGAAAGGTGGTTAAGTTTGAAATGTAGCTCTTGGGTTTTTAGCTCCTTAGTTCACAGAAAATTAATAAACTAGGAGAGTTATTGTTACTCTGCTCTTGTAGTTCTAACAGTTTTGAACATATAACTAACTAGGCTTGACTGCTCTTTAAGAGTACTGATCCATTCAGGCACCCTTCTTCTCTGAGAGATCAATTTTAGGAGACTTGGCTTTCTGGTAGTCTTCACTGATCAATTTGTTTCAGGAATTCTCAAGAAGTTTGAGGAAGAAGATTTGGATGACATTTTAAGGAAAAGATTGAAGGACTCAAGTGAAATACCTGGTGCTCTGTGGCACATTTATGCTGGGAAAGATGTTGACAAGATAAGAGAATTTCTTCAAAAGGTATAATTTAGTTTGCAAATAATTTATCTCCACCTAGACAATGGTGATTTAATTTGTTAATTAAATTAGTTAATGCGTCTTCATTTGGCTTTCAACAATATAAGATCATTAAATTTTTACATCAGAGTAGGGTGGCAGTTTTTATTGAAAGTCAACGGTCCCTTTTTCTTGTTTGAAAGCCTGTTTCCCATTGAAGGTTTTAAGTGGTGATTTGTTCCCAGTTTTTGGTGTTCTACCGTTCCCTAATAGTAAAGGTCTCCTCTATTGATGCCTCCATTAGTTGGGTGGTGAAAACATCTATTTGGAGTTGTAGGATATAAAAACTAAAGTTTTATGAAAACATCTAAAGAAGGTAGGATCTTTATTTTCTGTGCATCAAATTGGTATTTTTGGCTGCTGACCTAGACGGTAATTCTACTTGATCACATATAATACTGTGGTAGTTATTTGAGTAGATTGTGAGGTTTATTAGAGTAAACTGAAATTTTGAATAATCATATCTTTCTTTAGTTGTCAGATACTCTAAAAGAAATTGGCATGTTGACCTGAAATAATTGGTTCATATCCTTTTTTTCGATTATTTTTTAAACTTTGTAGTTATGGGAATTTATTTTAAGAGATTGTCATTGTTACTTACCTTGTAATACTTCTCTTTCAGAAAAGAATTAAGTTTTGTGTGATCAGTGTGAAGTAAAGGAGATAATAGCCTTGTACCTACTGCCAAATACCTATCAATATCTTGATCTAAAATACAAAAATCTGTGCCTTCTAAAACAAAATAATTACTTCACTGAAGGGTTTCTTGAAACTGATTTTCCATGGATTAGAAAGTTAGCCATGTAATGGTTTTTATCTTTATACTTACCTTTAAAAAAAAATCAAGAACTGTTTATAAAATCCATACGTATGAATGATTTACTTTTGGGGGAAAAAAACAACTAAACTACTCTTTTCCTCATCTTTGTATTACACTCTTGAAACAATTGTTAGGAAAGAGACCAGATAAATGGAAACATCATAGTAGAAGGAGGTAGTGAAAAGGAATATGATACACTCTAACAGCATTTCTCTAACAGCATTTTCAGAGCAGGGCGCAGTGGCTCATGCCAGTAATCCCAGAATTTAGGGAGACGAGGCAGGAGGATAGCTTGAGACTAGGAATTTGAGATCAGCCTGAGCAACATAGCAAGATCCTGTTTCTCCAAAAAAAGTTTTGTTTTTTTAAAATTAACTTGGCATGATGGTGCAGGCACCTATAATCCTACCTACTACGGAGGTTAAGGAGGGTGGATCATTTGAGGCTATGGTGAGCTGTGTTCACACCATCTCACTCTAACCCAGGTGACAGAGCAAGACCCTAACTCAAAGAATAAATAAAAATAATAACAGCATTTCAGTGTTGTATTGTTTTAGTGCTCTTTGGCTTTTCAAATTATTGGAGATTTTTTTTCTTTTAATTAAGAGGCTCAGTCATTGTTTCATTAGATTCTGAGAACAAAAGACTGTTGGTATGGTAAATAAAATTGAAATTCAACTGAACAGAATTTATCATATTTTTAACACATATTTCAGATTTCAAAAGAACAAGGCCTTGAGATTCTACCAGAACACGATCCAATACGTGACCAAAGTTGGTATGTGAACAGAAAGCTCCGTCAAAGGCTGCTTGAAGAATATGGAGTCAGAACCTGTACTCTTATTCAGTTCCTTGGTGATGCCATTGTTTTGCCAGCAGGAGCACTTCATCAGGTATATACCAACTTATTTCTAACACATCTATTACTGACTGAAATAACTAATTTTGCAAAATAAAATGTTCATATTATAGATATAAATGAAAGAAAACACAAGTAGCAGAATGATCTGCACCAGGCTGCTTCCATTAAAATGGCATTCCAGTGCTTGAAGAAATCTGACATAATTAAATACCTTGTTTTAACATGAGCCAGATTTCCATTTGCATATTGTCTATGAGTTAGTGCACCAAAATCTAATTTTTAAGACTTCTTTTAGGGACAGTTACTTATGTACTCATTCTGGAGAGTGAGGTGTAAAAGCATTGGCTAGGAGTGGGTAGAGCGCATACTGACTTGACTTTTCTATCAGACTTTAAGTGTACCTCCTCTCCTGCTTCTCTTTAGTGTGCTAACATAGCAAGGACCTGTCTAAGGAAAGATGGCATGTAATTTATATAACTAACAACCCATAAAACTTAAAAGCTAAAAAGTGTAATCTTTATTTCCAAATCTTATGGCATAGAACAGATTTGTGGGTATAAAGGAGGGATTAAAAGCACACAGTGGATTCCTATAGGGAGAATGGGCTAGGACAGTGCAGTAATCCCGTAGTAAGAGAGTGTGCCAGGGAAATGGAAGATTTCAAAAAGCTAGTTGGCCTTAGAGTTGGTTCCCTACCTTTTCCACTGCTTAGTAATTGTAATGCTGTATATTTGTTTACCAAATATTTTCTATAACTGTATGTGTAGTTACTGCCTACTTAGCATTTATGACACTAGTATACACAAATATCCTTCAGTGATAATAGTGGCTTAGTTTTAGCATGTGGTAGGTTCAGGGTCAGATTTATCATTCTTAAATCTCAAATAACATTTATGAAACAGTAGTAAAATTTAAATGTCATAACAACAAATGTACTTTTCTCTACTATAATTTCTTTAAAAAATGTAATTTATATTAAAGGGCTATATTTTCCTATGGACTTATTATATCAGAGATGTTATATTATTTATGACTTATGTGTAATTGAGATTCACCCTATTCTATATTCAGATGTAAATGCCCTCAAGAGCAGCCTGTTTAAGGGATTGTAAATCTTGTTGTAAATAAGAATAATTATTTGGTAATACAAAATAGAGTCCCTCGAAGATCCTTATTCACATTTTCAATTTATCCAATGTTAATTTTCTTAAAACTGGACAGTGTAATCATTTTGTATAAGTTGAGATATAATGTGCATATAGTCGTTTACCCTTTTTGGTGCACAGTTTTTTAAGTTTTGAAGAACGCATATTTTGGTAACAATACAATCAAAATATAGATCTTCCATCACTCCAAAAAAATTTCTCCTGCACTTTTTGTAGTTAGCCTCTCTTCCCACCCACAGTTCATGTACTGCTTACTCATGTCTTGTCTTTTTAGTTAGTTCCTCCTATATAAGAAAACTATGTAATTGGAATCACAGTATGGAGCCTTTGAGTCCAGCTTTTCTTAGCATAATGCATTTGAGATTCATCCATGTTGTGTGTATCAGTGGATTTTTTTTTTTTTTGAGTTGGAATTCTTACTCTTGTCTGGAGTGCAGTGGCACGCTTACAGCCACCGCAGCCTTACCTGCTGGGTTCAGGTGATCCTTCCTCCTCAGCCTTCCAAGTAGCTGGAACTGCAGGCATGTACCACCATACCTGGCTGGCTACTTTTTTTATTTATTGTAGAGATGAGGTCTTGCCAAGTTGCTCAGGCTGGTCTTGAATCCCTGGGTTCAGGTAATTTTCGACCCTCTTGCCTCGGCCTCCTGAAGTGTCGGTATTACAGGCATGAACGACAGCAGATCTTTTTTTATTGCTGAGTAGGTGTTTGTTGTATGAATATTTATTTAAAAAAAATTTTTTTGCAAGTCATGGTCTTACTCTGTTGTCCAGGCTGGATTACAGAGTGGCTTGATCACAGCTCACCAAGGCCTTTTACCTTCTGGGCTTAGATGATCTTCCACTTCAGCCTTCTGAGCAGCAGAGACTGCAAGCATGTGCTATCACACCCAGCTAATTTTTTCTTTTTTCTTTTTTGTAGATCAAGGTCTCACTATGTTGCCCAAGCTGGTCTCAAATTCCTGAGCTCAAGCATTCCTCCCACCTCCACTTCCCAAAGTGCTAGGATTATAGGCATGAACCACTGCACCTGGCTATTTTTCCATTTTTAAAATCTGCTTATCCAGTCACCAACTGAATACATTTGGGTTGTTTCCAATTTGAGACAATAGTATTTGAAACTACCGTAAACATTCACATACATGGTTTTTATTTCTGTTAAGTACATGCTGATTAGTGAAATTGCCTGGTCATACCATAATGTAAGATTAACTTTATTTTCTCTGCTTCCTCACTAGCACGTGATACTGTCAGTTTTGTGTTTAAACCATTCTTATCAGTGCTGCGGTTTTAATTTGCACCTTCTTAGTTACTAAATTTTGAGGAACTTTTTATTTCTTCATTTGCTTTCTGTATATCTACTTTAGTTGAATGTGTGCTCAAATATTTTGTCCATGAGTTTTAAGTATTTCTTACCTATTTCAGATCAAGTCCTTTATCTTTACAAATATGTTATTTCTCTGTGATTTGTCTTTCCAAAGAGCAGAAGTTTTTTCATTTTTCTTTTAAGGCACAGGGTCTCACTCTATTGCCCAGGCTTGGAGTTCAGTGGTGTGATCATAGATCACCGTAGGCTTAAATTCCTGGGTTCAGGCGATCCTCTGCCTTAACCTCTACAGTAGCTAGGGCTACAGGCCCACACCACTATACCCCACTGATTTTTCTATTTTTTTTTTTATAGAGGCAGGATCTTGCGATGTTGCCCAGACTGGTCTCAAACTCCTGACTTCAAGCAGTCCTCCTGCCTCAGCCTCCCAAAGTATTGGGATGACAGGCATGAGCCACTGTACCCGGCCAGTTTTTTCATTTTGATGAAGTAGATGGTTGATTTCTTTATTTTTGTTAATGGATCTTACTTTCATTGTCTTTACACAATTTTTGCCTTGCCCAAGATAACAAAAATTGTCACCTCTATTGTCTTCTAGAGCCATTATGGTTTGGGATCTGATATTTGGGTATATAATTTAGCTAATTCTTGTATGTGGTACATGTGGTACACAATATGAATTGGAGTTTGATTTGTTTGTTTTGGTTTTTGCATATGAATATTTGGTTGTTTCAGTACTATTTGCGAAAAGACTATTTTTAGATATTTTATCTTTTGAAAATATAATTATTATGATTAAGTAAAATATTTGAATGTATAAAAGGTTTCACAGTGAAAATTCAGCCTCCTGCCTCTGCTGTCAGCTCGTTTTCTCCAGAGGCAATAATTGTTACCCCAAAGAGATTCCATACTTAATACTTGTCTCCCTAATGCTTCTGCTGTTTTGGGAGGAGTAAAGGAAGGAAAGAGTTGTCTTTTAATATGTACAAAGTGATCGCATCTGTCTGCAAAGAGCCTCACAAGGCCCTATTTGCATCCTATCCATATGCTTACATATATATGCTCACATATATACATGTTTTTGCACAAATGTAGATGAACAAAATTAAGGCTTTCTGTAATTTATATTTGTGTTCTTTGCAAAACAAATGTACTTTGACCTCTCCTTCTGTGTGTTTTTTCTTGCTACTTAAGAAAGTTTACTTAGGTTGGAACTCACTTCCAATTATGACTATATATGTTTTCTTTTGAGATATGTAGAAAATTCACATAAATTATAGAAAGTAAATTTCATCTATGGTAGAAGTTGTTTTACCTAAATAGACCGAGACAGCATGTATAATCTAGACTGGCAAATTCTATTTTGAGTTCTTCCTTAACTTCTCTGTGGCATATTTTGGCATAGAAATTTCCAGCTACAAAACTAGGAATTTCTACCTTCCCTCCCCTATGTGGTGTGATAACGACAGCACAGTTCTTTGCACTCTGTTAAGAGGGTGTTGACCATGACTCACAAGTGGTGGTAGTGTAGTTTTGAGAGAGCATTCAAGGGAAGTGATACCTTTGCTCACAGTATTAACTTGGATTTGAGATGCATTATTACTTACAACCTGTTTAGGTCTTAGTGGGTCTGGAAACTGTGCATTGATGACTTCAGCACTTAGAAGTGGTCCTCAAAATACTCCCAGGCTCTCCAACTTGGTGTTCACATGTTTAGCATACATTAGAATGTCCTGGAGGGCTTTTGATAAAGCACAGATTGCTATACCTCACCATCAGAGTTCAATGGGTCTGGGGAGGGACTGAAATTTTACATTTCTAACAAGTTTCCAGGCAGTGCTGATTTTGCTGTCCAGGGACCATACTTTGAAAACCACAAAAGGCCTGACTTGGTGGCTCAGCCTATAATCCCAGCACTTTGGGAGGCCAAGACGAGTGGATTGCCTGAGCCCACGGGTTCGAAACCAGCCCAGGAAACTTGGCGAGACCCCGTCTGTATAATTAAAAAAAAAAATTAGCTTGGCGTGGTAGTGCTCACTTGTAGTTCCAGCTACTTGGAAGGCTTGGAGACGGAAGGATCGCTAGAGCCCTGGAGGTCAACACTGGGGTTGCCGTGAGTGTGTCACTACCCTCTAGCCTTGGCAACAGAGTGAGACTCCAACTCAAAAAGAAATAAAGAAAGAAAAACCACACAAATAGGAAGCTCTTGCAAACCCAAAGGAAAGTCAAAAATCTTTCAATCAAGTGATACCTACCTCATGACAGGAGCCAGCAGTGCTAGGGAAGAAACAACATTCTGTTCTTTAGCCTGTCAACTGTGAGCATTGCCAAAAGCCATACTAGGAAAAGAGTGGACTGTCTGAGCAGGAGAATTCAAGTGTGTATCTTAGCAAGCTGAGGGAAGCTATCATAGTACAGTCTTCTTTACAGTTTAAGAACTACTCTAGAAGTGCACACTTTAAAATCTTCTCTTAATAAATATGACCCTGTATGTTATACTCTTGTGTATCCCTAAACAGAACAGTTGGACCCTGAATACCAGGATTTATTTTATCACAGTTAGCACAAAATCTTTAAGTTTGTCCTAAACTACTTAGGTTAATTGATTGTGTTTGGTTATTCATAGTCAGTTTATAATATTTTAAAATTATAAATTCTCTGCATTCTTATGACCAGCAGGGTTTTTGGGCAAAAAATCTTTCCACTCTTAAGTTCTCACAAATAGCTTGGGTATATAACAATCACAGTGTCAAGATGAATACAAATTACTTTTCCTTAATATTACCTATTACCTTAACATAACTGATCCTTTAAGGCAAGTGTGAATAAGATAATAACAAGGAAGTAAAATGTAAATTACTCAACTGTGGTCAAGAAAAGGGATAGAATGAGAAGTTTAGTTGTGTTCTTTAAAACTGAACCTTGCCTCTTGAAACTAACCCTCAAGCCTTAAAGCAAAATACTTCAGGTGAGGGGGTGTTCAGTAGAAACAATAGCATCTTGTGAGCACTGATACAGGTCACTGTTCTAAAAGTCATTCTAAAACCATAACATGGCAAAGACTGACAGAATGAACTTTTTCAGAACTCTGGAATCTCATTCAAAACTTTTACAGCAACCAGGAGACTACTTAATGAAGAAAAGGGCAGCCAATTTTTTTGGCATTTAAGGAAATCTCTGTTAGGTCACTGGCTGACCACTGAGATAATGGAACAGATACTTAAGTGACTACACCCAACAAGGAATACTGCCTTTGCAAAAACAGTTTGGAAAAGTCACTAAGCAAACGGATGACTGCAGCCCCTCAGCAATCAACAACAGCAAACCCTGAGGCAGGGGGAGAAAATGGTTACCGGAATTAACACATTATAATGTTCAGATGCCCAGTTTCCTGCAAAACGTTACAAGGCATACACAGAAAGCAGAAAATATGTCCCATTCAAAGGGAGAAAATAAATTGACAAAAACCTTCCCTGGGAAGCCCAAACATTGAACTGATTAGACAACTGTCTTAAGTGTGCTCAAAGTGGTAACGGAAACCAGGAAAATAATGGATGAACAAAATGAGAATACCAGTAAAGACAGAATTTATAAAAAGGAACCAAGTAAAAATTTTGGAGCTACTGGTGATTTTAGGACATGCTAGAGCTAGACATACCAAAAGGTACATGCTAAAACTTTGGAAGGACTGACTCTCCCACATCATGTTCAGATAAATGAAAGACATGAGGAAAAAGGGCATTTGGAGACTGTGTATGCTGGTATGAGAGAGTTAGTAATAGGACTGTAAAGCATCACAGGAGTTGGGCTCCTGTTGACTTGCCATTTATTGGCTGATTTGTCTTGGGACAGGCGCTGAACATCTCATCCATAGTCTCCTGCTCTGTGAAATAGAGCATCTGTTCTACAGACACATAATGAAGAGCCAGTGAGACTGTACAGAAATGCTGAAAATGTGAGGCATCCACTATGTTCATCCTCCAGAGGAACCAACAGCCTAATGATTAAAGAAAAAGAATGTTTACTTTACTATGCTACCAAGTTATCAATAGAGGCACAGTGCTTGAGTTAAAGAACTCTGCAGACTTCAGCAGCTGTTCAGGTGGTCATTATGCCCAGAGGAGGAATTCTAGCCCCTCTGGAATTCCATCACCCTATCATCAATTAGATTTTTTTTCCCACAGTCTCCATTTCCCACTTACTATCTCCTTCATCTCACTCTTCCCAATTAAATTTATTTTGTATACTTTAAAATTAGAATAAATTTAAATTCTTAGTTTTTCAGTTATTTCCTCTTTCCCAGGAATTTTATGACATTTTTAAATATCACTAGAATACAATCTGAAAACATCAGAAATCCCAGATTGGGTCAGCTTTTGGGCCTTCCTCTGTTGTTTTACTGAGCATTAATAGGAAGTAGTTCTAAGAAATAGTAAAGTGCAAAGTCAATTTGCAAGTGCTGAACAAATGACAGATAAGACTATTGACTGACTTCTTGTGAAAACCATTTAGTAAGGAGAGAGAAAACCGTTGAACTATTGTACTGATGTCATAGAGAGTGAAGGGGACTATCTTTTAATTGGCAAATTTGAAAGCCACAAAGACTCAAAAAACCAAAATCCTAGGATAATTCTGAAACTCAGTTGTGGTCAGTAGATCTGCCTGGAACTACATTTTTCACCCCAGTTCCTAACAAAAAACTAAGTTTCATTTTCTTTTCTTTGTTCTCTGGTGTAAGAGTTAGTAGTGAAATGATCAAAATGCTGAAAGTCAAAGAAACAACATATTCAGATTGATTTCCTGGTATTCTTTCCAGTTTTCAGTTTTTTAAAGTAACACATTTTTTAAAAGTTCACCTTGACAAAATTGATAATTTAGGGTCTGATTATCCAAAGGATTCCTGGAAAAGTTATTTTCTTTTTATCATTTAAAAATATTCCATTTACAAAGTCACTTTACATGAAGCTTTTCAGTGACATAACTTTTCTCATAAAGTGTGGTCTTCTGCTTTAAAATCCATTTGATGTTTTGGAGAAAATAAATTCTCCAGCAGAACTGTCCCTTGTGTTTATTGGTTTTAGACAACTTGGCCTTTCTTTTCACCTACGTTCTAAAATTTATATTTCACTGTTTTTCTTTTTGGGGATAGGTTCAGAATTTTCACAGCTGTATTCAGGTAACTGAAGACTTTGTGTCTCCAGAACATCTTGTAGAGTCATTTCACTTAACACAGGAACTGAGACTTTTGAAGGAAGAAATCAATTATGATGATAAATTACAGGTAAGAGATGAGTGTTCTAATGAGATCCTGTTTGGCAGGCTTTTTTATATTCAGAAATAAGGAACGTGTATAACAACTTAAGCAGTTGTTGCCCAGTTAGTCACATTAAGATAACAACCAAAGATTAACACCAATGTTGTATTTAATTGTATGCATTATAGTTGCCCTTATTTTACCTTTTGGTTTGACAACAATTTTAAACTTTGTTGGCTTTCCTTGGTGTCCCCAGTAGTGAAGTTGTTGTTTTAATCTGGCAGTTGTCATTTGTTAATTTCTGTCCAGCTGATGTAATTAGAAATATCAACATCTCTTTCAGGTTAAAAATATTTTGTATCATTCAGTCAAAGAAATGGTGAAAGCCTTGAAGATACATGAAGATGAAGTAGAGGATATGGAAGAAACTTAAGTGTGGTCCAATTTGATGTTAATTTTAGGCCATTGAACTGGGATTACTTACCCTCCAATGATGATATGTATGCACTCTGACTTAAGCTTCATAAACCATCAGTGCCAAGAAATTCTCTTTGTAGTAATTACTTGTTACTGACACTGCAGCAGTATAGCATATGTCACAGTTCCTGTGATTCAATGTTAGTTATAAAACAAGCTAAATTTAAAAAGCAGCACTATATAGCTGTTTATGTATTATAGTGTATATGATGTTTGTGAAAATGCCAGATTTAAGATGATGTATTTATTTTTGGTAAAAAATACAAAATTCTATGCTATATTGTTGATCAAGTGTAAATGTGACCTTGTACAGTTTACTAAAATAACTGATATTTTTCACTACATTGAGACAGTTACTGTGAGAATAGGACATAAACACCAGCTATTGCCTGCATCTGGGAAATTGCTGAATCGCACAGCAGTCATGTCATAATCAGAAAATTACTGCCAAATAATTGTAAACTTTGTAAAATATAAAGTATATAAAGTAGATATTAAATACAGACACTTCAATATTTTGTTGAAGCTTATTGACTGTACAATTAAACATTTTCAAAAGGTGTAATTTATTTAAAATTGTCTCATTTTGGTAAAATTTATGTGAACTTTTAAAGCTAAATATTAAACTTAATATGCTATGTAAATATATACATATATACATTTAATGATGTATTTTTTTAAAACATTGGCTTGCTTTTGTTAAAGTGCAAGTGTTACATATGGCTTTGTACATTAAAGTTGAAAGGGGTTTTACATTTTCCATTAAAAGGACTTTATCAAAAAAAATTGGCTTGTTCCATACTTCTCCCTCTTTTGACCTGCATACCACTGAGGGCAGAGAAGAGCCTGAAGTCAGCCTGGGTTTGAATATGAGTTCTTCTACCTACTGTGTGACTTTGGCAAGTTGCTTTAATTTGGAGTCTTGCTTTTGCTGTCTGGCTTTGTTTTTTTAAATTAAGTGATAGGGTCTCTGTCAATCAGGCTGGCGAGCAGTGGTGCAGTCACAGTTCACTGCAGCCTTGAGCTACTAGGCTTTAAGGCATTCTTCTTCCTCAGGATCCTGAGTAACTGGGACTACAGGCCTGACTAATTTTATTTTTTGTGAGACAGTCTGGTCTCAAACTCCTGGTAAAGCAGTCCTCCCACCTCTGCCTCCTAAAGTGCTGGAGTTACAGGTGTGAGCCACCTTGCCCACCTAGCTGGCTACTATTATCACTTGGTTGCTTGAGGCTCATTTGCTCTTAACTCATACTGAGTTACTGGAGCTATTCAGGCCTCTACTGACACCTGCAGGATATTGAAGGGACAGCCTTTCCTTCTCTGAAAGGGGAATGTAGCTTAAAACAGTAGCAGCTCAAGTTGTGACACCTTAATCCTCATTTTCTTTATGTCTTCTATCATTTAGCTCCTTGTAGCCAGTCGTGCCACCCTCCATCTTGAGTAAGGTTTAGCCAGGAGTGAACAACTGCATTTCACATTAATTTCCTACACCTGGCAAAAAGGTAGATGACTGCTTGGCTAGGAAAAAAAATTGGGATGAGGAATAGTTCAAGTGATTTTGTAAATCTTTTGTGAGCATTTGACTTTTTTTAAAATTAATTTTAAAGATGGGTACAATTCAGGATTAGGTATACAGTTGGTCATTGTACAGGTAAAGTTTGGGCCTGATTTTGGTCCCCACTTCGCCTGGTTTGAGATCAGGTACCCTTACTGATGAAGTGTGCCCCCTGTCCCTTTCCCTGGCAGAGTCCCGCTACTGCCAATCCCTTTCTTATAATCTTATGATAATTGTTCAGGGTTCCCTTTTCCAAATGTGTCTCAGCTGACCAAATGGTTTCTTTTACCTTATGTTTCATAATTTTAATGTAAAATTAGTTTAGAACTAAGACTGCCACCTACTGGTTCCCTAAAGTATTCCAAAGTCTGGTGGGGTTTTTCCCCCCAAAAAGCTTTTGCATGTCTTGCTCTTTTGCTTGAGCCACTTTTTAACTACACTGTGATCCTTTCAGAATAGCTGAAGCTAAGGAAGGTGAAGCCAGACAGTGCAGCTGCTTTCAGAGCAAAGCCATCTGATGAGAGTGTTATGTTCATAGCCTGAGTTCCATGCTAGTGACCTAAATTCTTTGCAGACCTAGAGAGAGGACCATAATGCTTATATTACTTACTAAAAACGTTTCTGTTTAAGGCTCTGGGGAATTGTATTACTGATTGCTCCCTAATTCTGGAGCAATTCCTCTGACCCTTGTACCTTTTCCCTCCACCTTTTGGTTGACTCAAATGTTCCTCATAGTGAGAACATCTGAATATGTTAGCTTCTTGCAGACAGTGGTGTGGGTAAGTACCACCTTAAATGTGTATAATTTGAGAAATATCAAGGAGCCTTTATGAAAGGAGACTTAAGTGAGTCTTTAGATCCTTCCCATTCTAATCTGTAGTGTTATTTGTACCTGAATATGGATTTCTTTTCCTGAAAAATGAATTGTGTGCATTCAAACCCATTTCTTTTCTGCCATGCATTTTGGGATTGTATTTCCCATCAAATCAGTGCTTAGTTTCCTGTTGCTTCCCTTTTTGTTAGATGGGGTGTGGGTTTGATCATATCTGAGTAAAATTAGTAACTTTCAGAAGGAAAGGACTGATGTACCTTTACTTGGCTCTGTGTGTACATATGATCAATCTTTTGATGGATAGATTCAGCATATTCCATTTCTAGATGCCAGGCTGTGAAAGATGCTCTCCCAAACAAAATTGGCAGTCAGCCACAGGAGAGGAAACGTGTGATTTAGTGACCATTCTATAACTGTCCAGTAAGATTCAGACTCGGACCTTAACTACAAAAGTGATGACATTCCTGGTTATACAAAATAGTCACATTAACCTAGATAGTTTATGCCTTGAAACTATTTAAAAATATTGTAGCTACATAGTATGCTTTGGCTCCCACAGTAATCATTTGGGTTCTTGTAATGAAAGTTAAGTGACTTTTAAACAAGAATGAAATACCGGCAGGCTCCGGGTCACTAGCTGCATACTTCGCAGTTTGCGTTCCCTTTCTTGGCTGGGGAGGTTTTCAGAGCTGGCTGCAGCTGAGCCTGGTATTGCCCTGTTCCATGTCCTGACTATGGAAGAGACCTCAGTCCTGGGGCCAATGGAGGGTGTACCAAGAACATGTGTTTTGCCTCAGAGTCTGCTGGATGCTTAAGAGAGGACGTCATTATGAGGATAAGTGAGGAGTCCAACACTTGACCCTAAGTTTGACAGATGATGAAAGATGTAGAGAACTGGGTGAGTGAACAAACCAATGAGCAAGTATGAGATCAGATGGGAACTGACTCCTTTTCCAAGGAGAGCCAGTTTGACTCTTCCAGTATAGTGAGGGTGGTGACTGACTCACAGGTGGGACTGATGCAGAATATGCAAACAAATACTGGTTAGTAAGTGGAAGCGTTCATGATTAAAGCCGTGGCTCCCAGCCTCACATGCCTTGCAAAAGCATAAGAGTTGCAGCGTGGGGGCTTCAGTGTAGGATAGAACTATCTTTTACAATTTATTCAAAAGCATGTATTGAATACCTATTATGTGTTTGGCACTGGTGATGTGATGGTTAAAAAAAGGTACTAAGGATTGTTCCATCTATGCTAAATACCATGTAACAGGCTGTATAAAGGGCTTGCCTGGAGTCAGAGAAGGCTGCAGAGGGGAGGCAGTGTTTGCACAACCCCTCAAGTAACAGAAAACAGGACAGAGCAAATGCTGTGGGCATAATTTGGTAGTCTTTCAGCCCCTTTTTATAAACATTTCAGCAGTTAGAGACTTCCCACATATTATGCAAAGGTATTTTACAAAATCATCCCGTTTTTGTTCTTGTAGAGCAGTGAGGAAAGAGCAGCTTCTTGGAAATGCCTTTTTAAGAGGTGAATGGCACACAGACAAAACCCTCTCAAGGTTGTAGTTCATTGTAGCCCAATATAGACATCTTCTGGAATATGCCACAGGTAAGCCAGTGAACTCTCATCTCCCCCACATCCTATAGAGTATAACCAAATTATTTTCACATCAAACATTGAGAGACCCTGTGATAGCTTCAGGTACTTTTCTGAATCAGTAAACTGATTGACAGTCAACCTCTTTCTTTTCTTTTTTTTTTTTTTCTTTTTTTTTTTTTTGAGTTGGAGTCTCACTCTGTCGCCCAGACTGGAGCGCAGTGGCTGCTCCCGGCCACCGCAGCCTCGACCTGCTGGGCTCCGGCGATCCTTCTGCCTCAGCCGTCCGAGTAGCCGGAATTACAGGCACGCGCTACCACGCCCGGCTGATTTTTTGATTTATTGTAGAGATGAGGTCTCGCTGCCCAGGCGGGTCTTGAACCCGCGGGCTCAGGCAATCCACTCACCTCAGCCTCCCAAAGGCGCGGGATTACAGGCTGAGCCACCGAGCCCAGCGACAGTCAACTTCTAATACATTTAGTGCTCTGATTCTTTGGGCATGGATAATCTGTGGCATGCGTGAGAACGCTTCACCAAATTTTTTTAATAACTAGAATTTACTTCTGTTTCGCAGAAACAAGTTATGCAGAACAGAAAACAATATCTTGTGAAGCAAAATTCCAGGTAGAAAGGAGAAGTCCAGCCGCTATGACCTTTTTTAGGAAAGGAAATTGAATGCTGTTTTAGTTTCTAAAAATCGTTGCGCTATGCAAATTCTCATAATAAAGAACCACAGGCTCACAGGGAAAATGGTATTAGGGCATAACACTCTAAAACTTCACCAGTGACATGAAAAAAACTGGGTCTACACGTGTTAAATGTTGAAGAAATACACAAACACCATAAAAAATATAGCACTTTACGTGGAAGAAGTTCTTGTGGAAGTGGGCGTCAGAAGGGTTGCAGTTTGTGATTTCCGTTATTGTGAAGCAGGGGAAGAAGAGTTACCTGGAATCGGAGGGAAAAGCAAGGCCAGATATGGATGGGTGTGGCTCAGTACCCTGTGAAAGAAGGCAGCTGGGAGGTATTTGAAGTATGTGCATGTGTTTTATACATTTCTCTACAGCTTGTTTCAAGAGGTGCAGTTGTCTGCATTTAAGTTTTTCTTGCAGAATAAATTGCCCCCTAAGCAAACAGAATATTAATCATGTTGGAACAAATTTGCATGTTCACAACAAACTTACAGCTGAACTGACTGTATACCAAAAGATCTGAATCAAAGCTTTCTGGGGTGGGACTGGCAGTTGAGAGAAACTCCAAGGGAGGGGAGGGGCACTCCTCATCATCAAGGGTACCTGCATAATGAACATTTGTATACCTGACCATGAATTGTACCCCACATCTTTAAAATTAAAAACAAAACTTTTAACAAAGAAAACGAAGCTTTCTAAAGCCAATGAAATGTAGGATTTCAGAAACACATTCTAGGATGTTAAGAACTTGGTGAATCTACTGAATTGGTTATGTGATTTAAGGCATCATTTCTCACATTCCCTCTCAGTGGAGAAATAAAAGTAGCAATTCAGCCCATTTAGACAGAGCAGTGACAGTTGTGCCTGTTCTACATGTGCAATCCCCAGATATTCCACAGTCACGGAACACTGCTGCCCATCGCTGTCCGCCACAATCTGCCTTCACGTGTGCTGCCTTCACGTGTGTCGCCTTCACGTGTGTCAGGAGTCCACACACATCCTTTCCAACCATTATCAGTTTGTTGGATCTTTCAAGTCGGCTGGAAAAATTCTCATTTACCTAGTGTTTCTAGTTCTTACCACACTTTCTGTGGCACTCTGAGCTAGAAGC